CTGCTTTCACTAGTGAATATAGAATTATATATCTACGCTTTACAAGTTGTTAAATCTAGCTTTGAATCAATCATCGGATTAGCTGTAGATAATACATAATGTTTTTAAAACAAAAAAATATATATAATTAGGGATTAATTTCATCAGTCCTGCTTGAGGAAGCTGTCGTAGCGAAACACGCGTCGCGGTTTTGTAAACCTTTATAGTGAAAATCACCAGGGCCGTCTTCAACCTATTGGAGGCCCTGGGCATAATAAGATAATGGGGCCCCTATGACTTTGACAGAACACTATTTTGTTAGAATAGACATAAAAAGTAGATAAACAAGGTTAAATATTTATTTTTATTAACAATCACATGGAACGAATAGATACATTTAATATAGTCCACAAAAGTAACTTAGCGATGTGGAAAAATTACTTTAACAAATATATTTTATTGAATATCATTTATAAAACAAAATACAATTACGTAAGAATTAAATATTGTTGCATTAGAGATTGCACTAAAGATAAAAACATATTCATATATTCAACTGTATTTTGTAACAGTGAATAAGAGAAATCGCGGTCGGTAATAGGTGTCCCTAGTAGGCTGGTCGAGTCCCCATTTTGTTGCAGGTAGCGTGGTTATAGTGGACGACTGGGAGGGCTGTTGGACGAGAGTATAAGAAGTGGAGGCCTCGTAGATTTTAGTCAATACAATACGATGTTCAAGCCTGTCATCATGTATGCATCAGGCGCTTGGGGATTAACCGCCCCGTCAAACCTGCTCTCCATTTTGGAAAGGTTGCAAAACAAACTAATCAGGATGCTGGTGAATGCTCCATGGTTCGTGCGTAATGAAGCCATCCGCAGATATTTGAAGCTGTTAACTATACGGCAGTCCATTCAGTCGAGGAATCAGAGAGTTTTCGAGTCAGCGGAAACTCATGATAACTCATTAGCCAGGGAAGCCGTAGATTACACTATAGAGGACCCCACTCGATTCAGAAGACTCCGTCGCTCGGTTGAGTGAAGGCCCCACGACGTCTGTCAAAATGAACAGTTTGTTCATCAAATACCCCAGTCAGGAAGGGGTACACAAAGCCAGAGCGGCATAGATGTCACTGATCTTTATGTCGACACCAAAACACCTTACGTTATGAACCATTCGTCCTCCTGACGAATCTCAGTTGAAAGGGTAAGGGACAATTTCCAACCTGAAGAAAATGAACATGACACGAACATTTTAGTCAGCTAGGTTGGAGAGTTGGTTTGGAGGGTTTGGTTTCAATTTTCTATGTAATTTCTCAACTAAATTATTTGGTTAATTCGAACTTGAAGCTTCATACTTCGCTTCGTTCGCTCAATTTAAATGGAGCTAGTCACAGTGATGACTGTACTACTGATGATTCTTCTTTAAAATGTGTATGTGCTTAGTATACTATTATATATTCAAAAGTACAGTAGCTTAGCGCATGTAAAGCTGGTAAGTTGGTATTGTAGTCAGTAATTTAGATTCGATTTCTTCGAATTATATAAGTTTTTTGGTAAGGAATATTGGTTATCGTTTGGTGATCTGACAGGAATTAGGGATTTTTGTATTTGACTTGAGGGGGGCCCCTATCGATCGCGGGGCCCTGTGCACTTGCCCAAAGTGCCCATTGGTAAAGAGGGGTCTGAAAATCACAATAAACTATTTTATTGGTTTTAAATTTCCTGAAATTAATAAAGCCTACGCCACTGCTCTGTGTCGGAGCTTGAGAGTGAACGCCGTTTTGTTGAGGGGTGACTCTTTAAAGTCTTTAGGCACATTATGAGGGTAGCACGCGTCAGAGTACCGGCAGAGAAAAAGATACTTCCAAAAGGTTAGAAAATATTAGTGGTTTGATTTCGAATATTATGCGGGATTCCCACGCACGGGGAGACGGTGAAATGCTGGGATAGGAGTACGTCACGGGAAAGTTCCTTATCTCAATACAATCAAAACATTTTCCCAATATTACTTAATTATATGCGAAAAGATTATTTATTGACGAGTTATAGAAATTCAGTAAAATCAACAAATGCATATGCAAATTCTTTGGGAAAATATAAACATCGGATTATGTTCAACTCTTTTAGTCATTTTGCAGATGAAAAGAAAGTTTACATTTCATGTAATTTCGAATACTAAATAACACATAAATTACTTTGTCTCTCTCAATTTGCACACCTATCAGAAACTAGAGCTGGGCGCTATGTCAAGTACTTTTTGACGTTTTGGTTTCAAGTACCTACGACGTACAAATACTTCTGACAAGTTGTACCTGAAAAGAAGTACAGGTACTAATTTCAGAAAAGCATTTGAGCTTTTCCACTTCAGAATACTCCAGAAAAGGCATAAATAAACTTTTGAAGCACTTGTAAAGTATAGTTTTTTGAAACAAATATAATTCTTACAGGTTGGTGATGAAGTGGATATCAAAAAAGCTGGTTGTTGAAAAATTATTCTATGTGAATGATATTAGTTTTTTGCTATTTGCATAGGTTGTCTTTTTTACACCATATTTCACCATTTTTACCAAGGGAGCTACGGTGTTAGCCAAACGCGTCTAGAAATGAAAAAGTTTGTGAAAATTAATTTGAATTGCTGATGAAAAATAACAGTAATCAGAATGTCAGTATGAGTTGGTAATGAAGTATTTCAGAATCTTTAATAATATCACCCGTTGTTTAAAATAACGATGACAGAGGGAAAGTAGTTGTACTTGAAACAATATTGGACTGGGACAAATAATGTATACCTGACCTACTTCAAAAAAGTATGAATAAAAGATATTTGTAGGGTAGGTATTTGTAAAATAGAACAAAATGTACTCAGATCTAAGACAGTTCTTTTGAAAATACAAATCTAAACAGCTCTTTTTTATTTTTTATTGAGGACAAAACTTAAGCAGTACAATCCTTAAGGATTGAATTTTTTTCTACTTTCAATTTAGTTTTTTGTAACAAAATTATTAGAGTCGTTTATTATAATTATCACTTTGGAAAAATCCAAAATATCTGACAAAAATGAATCTTATTATTACATTCCCACATAATTTGATTCTTGGAGAGGTCATAGTTATTCACCAACTCTAAAAGTTCAAAATACTATAAATGAAAGTTTTTGTAATTGGAAAATGCTGTATTTTTGGAGATGACCATCAATTAGGCTAGTGTCGTACACATTTCATAGTAACGAATAATTAATTGTCTTTGGAATACGTTTTTATTTTTAGTATTCTCCCGCATTAACGATTACGACTTGAAAATATTCATAAACACATTTGCGGATTGTCATATTAAAGATATCTATAGAATACTATTTTTTGTATATGCGAAAACAGTTAATGAGGAAATGGATTTTTATTAATAAAAAGAACGTGTATTTTGTAATTGCCGTGGGATCGAATACATTATTTGACTCTTTTGCAGACTATAGGTGAAAAATATGCGTTTGTTACTCTATATATAGATGAATTATTACAAGTTATTTTGGATGAAAATCATATCTACCGGATGACAGTTGTCAAAAATATCCGTAGCCTTACAACCTTTTTAATTATCTTAATATATATTGTAAAAGAAAGTCTCTCGCTGCGTCTTTCTGTCTGAATTCGGTTAGCTTAAAAACTACCGAAAGGATTTCCTTACGGTCTTCACTAAGTTATTCAAGAGAAAGGCAGGTGTGTGTAACTCATTTTTATTGACTTTTTTGAGGATTTTCTCCTTCCACAATCTTCAAAAAATGAAAATTGTAATGGCAAACTTACAGAAAATACAGGTGTATATATGTATAAACGACAAAATATGAATTTCCCCACGAAAATGATTCGATAATTCAATAATGATTTGTGAAAATTGGTTGAAAAATGATGATGCAAATCCTTGGAAAGCACAAACGTGTCTTTTTAATATTGTCAAGAATTTTCAGAATTATTGAAAACTCATTCCAAATTCCAAAGAATTATCTGATAAAATGATGACTAAAAAACATGCGAAAGAACTAATAATGAATGTTGAAAATTCATCCATTCTATTTCAGATTGACTTTATGTTTGATGGTACAGGGACATCAGTACAGTGGTACAGTTCATTTCCCGAAATGTTAGCAGAACTATTGAGATATCCCAGATACATTAAATACATTTTTCAACAAATAAAAATGAATTTTTGGTCATTATCAACAAAAATGATTAATTCAAGTAGCTAATATGAAAAATGCAGTTTAATTCTCACAGTATTATGATTTATCGTTTGTTTGCAGATTCTTGAAATTAATATATAACTGCTAATTACTAGAGAAGGCTAATCCGATTTACAGAAATGAAACTGTGTTGAATTGATTGAAATACCTATCAAACAAGGTATCACAAAACCACCCTTCCCATTTGATAAAAAAGTTGGTAGTGTCATCTTAACAAGTGATGTAACACTTATCAAAAAATCTATGAGCGATATCTTTTAGTTGTTTGTTGAACCAGTATGGTAATTATGTATCAGAAAACGTATCCATGCACAGCTTTCTTTATGATCTGAAACTAACAAAAAATGGTCAATCATCAAGTTAAAATGTGTTTATACCTACTTCGATAGTGATAATTTTACTCAAGTACATCTATGTATGTAGTTCCAAAAATTTTCCCAGTTACTGATACAATGATTTATTGTAGAAACTAAATCTGCGAAATACCAGAGGGAAAAGGATTTTAACGAAGAATGTTGTAGGCAAATCCTCTTTTCAAATATCACGTTTCAGTTCAAAGAACTGACTATCGAAGTAGTATCTCACAAATACGTCGAGAATATTTTCACTACAGGGATGTTCAGGAAAAGTTTTCTTGAATTGACAAATGAATTATTCCGCAGATACTTCAGTAGAAATGTAACTTTGACATTTTTTGTTTCCCTTGAGGTGTGCACCGCCACCTAGCGGTGCACACCTCAAGGGTGCATCTTGGCTATTCGCTTTCGCTAACTCAAAGAAAAATAGAAGATTTTTTATTGTAGGTTATGTATGAGCGGATTCGTTTTTTGACTTATTTCATACAGTTTTTTGTTATTTCAATGATATTTTCTTTTAATTGATAATACTTTCAGAAGATATCTTCTCTCATCATGCCTATTAGCGAATATATATCGGCCCTATCTGATAACCCATATTTTGGTGCTGGTTTCGGACTCTTCGGTGTGGGTGCCGGAGCTGCTCTTCTCAGAAAGGGTTTTCAAACGTCTCTCATTTTATTCAGAAGACATTACATGATAACCCTGGAAGTTCCATGTCGAGATAAATCTTACCAGTGGTTGCTACAGTGGATGACTACTAAAGGTGCAAGGCAGACTCAGCATTTAAGTGTCGAAACGAGTTTCGAACAGAAAGACAGCGGACATGTAAAAACCAAATACGATTTCATACCTAGCATAGGGACTCACTTCTTTCGGTAAAGTTAGTTGTAGAGAATAAAAATTAGACAAAAATATGTTAGGGGTGTTGCAGGTATGGCAGATCTTGGATAAGGGTAGAAAGAACCAGAGAGCAACATACTTTGGATCTCCATATGGGTACTCCTTGGGAAACGGTTCAGCTTACTGCGTTTGGGAGGAACAAGGCAATGTTTTTCACAATCTTGGAGGAAGGTAATGAAATGATTGCATAATAAAGGTACTATCAGATGAAGTAAACATTGTACGTAACCTAAATTGACTTGGACTGTTCCCGATTAGTGTTTGGTATCATGAGCTAACATCATTCGAGAAAGAGCTTTATTTATCATTAACATTAGATGACTGAAAAAGTAGAGTGGAGATTGGAAGATGAAATCTGTAAATTCTGTAGTTACCTTTGAAAACTAATTTCTTTGTTATCGCTTGACCAATAAGTATATTGGAGAAAATCATGATTATTGATTGTTTGTTTTGTTGAAAACCCTACGAACACTATTGTGGGGACAAGTCTTTGCATGGTTTCATTATTAGATGGCATATACATTGTGTTCAAGATAAAAAGGGCCAGCAAGGAAAAATCAGAAATAATAAGAGGTACATTAAATGACATTTTGAAATTCACTAATCAAAAGATATGTATGGTGAAGTTGTCACCAAAAGACTAACTTTCACCAGGTGATTCATTTTTCTATTCCATATAAAATATGAAAAATTGGTGATGGTTTCTCTGGGACAAAACATGGATAATTAATTACTGAATACTGTTTTATACACCTTGACGTGTTTTTGGTCAGAAATAAAACGAACTTGGCGAATTTTCGTTCATTTCGAATATCTCAGAAACTAATTCTAATTTCCTGAATTTTTAATCATCATTCAAATTTGCTCTAAAGGGGGCAGCTTTTTACAGATTCAACTAACTTTATGTCCTGCACGGTTTCCAATTTTCTCATGGTGGATCATTTTATCCCGGGTTATATTCATTGCCTATTCATTTTTGCTTAATTTTCGCCGTTTCAACTGAGTAATCGGAATATTTTGGACTGGTAATTTTTTAGTATCTTCAAAAATTTCAACATCTCATTCATTTTTATCCTATTTGTTCCTTCATAGATTTCAAATACCTTTTTTAAACAATGGAGATCTTCCCAAACATGCAACATACATTTCTTCTACTGTTTGAGATTTCTGAGTACCAGGTCAATTACTTGAAAAAATAAAAAATATATGTATGCTTCTTTTCTATTGATGATGGTTCTTTATTTTGAAGTCTCAATACCCTTTTTATGTAGGACTATTATGTTAATGATAAGTGTTATTGCTTTTGGAACTTCAATGAATATTTCATAAGAATCATTTTATAATTTAGATATATTTATGAAGTTTGTTTCCTATTTTATCTCCTTCATGACACAAACCTAAAATTCTGGCCACTTAAATCATTTGAAAAGGTCGCATTTTGATAGAAGACTATGAATCCAAATCTTTCTGTTTTTCATCTTCACTCAAGTTCATGTCTGCTTCATCGAATATATCGTCCAGTAGGGACAAATAAGATTTTAAATATATATTTGAGCAATTAATTTTTTTGTGCAACCACCCGAGCTGAACCCTTTAAGTTGTTAGAAATGAAATCTGAGTCTTTCAGTTGAATCATTTGTACAATATGTCTTACCAACACTTAACAATAAAATTTGTTAGCTAGACAGATGGCTCTGGAGAAGCATGAAGGTAAAACCATAATGTATACTGCAATGGGTAGCGAATGGAGACCTCTTGGACATCCGAGGAGAAAACGGCCAATTTGTTCTGTTATTCTTGATGATGGTATAAGCGAAAGAATTTTGAAGGATTGTCACGAGTTTATATCAAATCCGACATGGTATATAGACCGCGGAATTCCTTATAGAAGAGGTATGTTCAAAACTCATAAGTTCGACTCTCTGAATACAATTTTTTTGTTGGATTATCTAACGTGATAGATAGATACTTAATTGTAGTTTGAGTTATCAAATAACTACAATTACTAGACATATAACAATATACAATTTACATAAAATAGAATCAAAGACAAAAATAAGACTACAACAAATACAATAGTCACCATTTGAAAACTTTTTTCATAAAATTGAAGTGTATAATAGGCTTCATTTAGCAATAAATATTTCATCATTCTCCTGAATTGTTATATATGGCAGGTGATTCAATATATTGAATATTTTTTTGGCATTTATACAATAGACGTTTTCTTGAAGTATTTTTTTGTGTTATAGTTAGATATGGAAGCAATTTCAGAACCACATTTACTGTGTAATTCAGCAAGAGTATAGAACATTATGTATGTTTAGCAATTTGACAATAATCACATCTTTTGATAGATTATTTGAAACATCTATCATTAAATCTTCAAAATAGTTCTCCAGTAGCGTTTTGTTTTAGGATATCTCCTCTACGGCCCTCCAGGCTGTGGAAAATCTTCGTATATCACGGCCTTAGCAGGTGAGTTAGGATTTTCCATTTGTGTATTGAACCTATCAGAGAGAAGTCTCTCCGACGACAGACTAAATCATTTGCTCAGCTTGGCACCTCAACAAAGTATTATACTATTGGAAGATATTGATGCAGCATTCACATCTAGGGAAGATACACCTCAACAGAAAGCGGCCTATGAAGGTTTGAACAGGGTAACGTTCAGCGGGTTGTTGAATTGTTTGGATGGTGTTGCTAGTACTGAGGCCAGGATAGTATTCATGACTACAAATTACATTGACAGGTGATTTGATTTTTAGTATCTTCAATTTTTCTTTTGGAATATTTTATGACACACATTCTTGGTGATAATTGTTCTATTACAACTGATGTATGGAGTAACTTTACAATACTGCTAAAAACTTCTTACTTATGTGAAGCTCGTGGGTTTTCACCACTAGAATAATTTTCATCTCATCAAGAAAAAAAAAATCCAAATCTTGCGTGTCAAATACAATTCTGAATAACTTAATTAATTGATGAATATATCCTAAGTGAATTATATAATTTTCTCTACCACTATAGAGAAAAGCGTCAGTTATATGACCTTTTCCAAAAAAATTTACAATTATAAAATTTTCGAAAATTCATATCATTGATTAAAAACAGCAATTGTTATTATATGAATCTTTATTGAACAAGACTTGAGGAACATAATTTTTGTTCATTCAGAAGTACCAGGGTTCAATATGTATTGTAAATATGTATGATATCATGATCTTCAGTTTCTAATACATTCCTATTCTCTAAAACCCCTATTCACTAAAAAAAAAAAATTGTCTGGACGACAGACAGTGCAATGTTAAGCTTCAACGTCAACTTTCAATTGAAAATTCACTTTCTGTCTTTCTGCAGCTTTCACTGTAAACAGGCAGATAGATGTACTCTTGATTCACATAATTTGAATCATGGTGAAAATGAATAAGTAAATGAATTAATTCTTCACCTGAAGAAAACTTTGAAAATCATAATCATTGTTGTGTTACAAAAAAAAAAAAATAAAATTCATCGAATATCCAAAGTGACAAACACTTTCATTTATAGGTTGGATCCTGCCCTCATAAGGCCAGGTCGGGTTGATCTACAAGAGTATATAGGATGGTGTTCCCAAAACCAAATAGAAAAAATGTATCTCAGGTTTTATGACGGTAAAGATGCGTTGATCCAGGCAAAGATGTTTGCTGAAAAAGTCGTATCATTGAAGGCCAATGTTAGCCCCGCTCAAATACAGGGTTACTTCATGCTTCACAAGCATTCGGATTCTCGGGATGTATTGGAAAATTGCGAAATATTATGCAAGTCAAAAAAAAAGTGAGGTTAACAATGTGAATTTTGTACATTTTCTGTCTCTTAGTCCTTATATTTTTTGTGAACACTTTACAATTCAGGTCACAACTAGTAGGCATAAAAAATGTTTCTATTTTCACTTTTATAGAATTGAATATAACTTTGAATAGGCTGATTTCAGTAAGCTAGGAAAATTTGAAAACTCATAAACATAAAAGTTTTTTTCAAGAATATGTATAGTAGTTATTACATAGTTCCTTGGTTTTATCAATTTTTCAGGTATCTGGTTTCATTTGGAGCATTCACTTTTTATATATTACTCGATTTTATTTTCAGTTCTCAAGTATTTAGCAAAGACATCATTTCAAATATTGTACAGGAATACTCCATCCGTAACTCCCAACTTCAATTAAGTGTTTGAGCCGGGGAAAATGAACTTAATCGGATGAAAAATGTGGAACCAAAAAAGCTTTGAATTCTGTTAAAACATATTTATTTCAATTATTTCAAATAAAATAATGTTGTGTTTATATGGAATATTATTTTGATATTTCTTTCCCATTTCACTTTCGTATTGTCAAATATTTCATATTCATATTGCTATAAATTATCTCTAAAAAAAAATACTGGCCGTCGCTAGTATTCGTCAAACGCCTGTGACTTGGCCAAGGTCGCGCTCAACTCTACTTTTGTTTCTCGATAATTCTAGGTGTCGCTTCGCTTCCATTGGTATATACAAGACTTTCATTGGCATATATAAGGACTAACAACAGGCAGATTGAAAAAGTCTTGTTGACAATGCGGTACGAAATGAGGCGATAGACATTCAAGTATTAATCTGAAGTCTAAAATGGTTTTGACTTTCGCGGCTGAGGTTTTCAGTGTAATTCTAGGTGTCGCTTGGCTTCCATTGGTATATACAAGACTTTCATTGGCATATATAAGCACTAACAACAGGCAGATTGAAAAAGTCTTGTTGACAATGCGGTACGAAATGAGGCGATAGACATTCAAGTATTAATCTGAAGTCCAAAATGGTTTTGACTTTCGCGGCTGAGGTTTTCAGTGTCACTGTTTTTTCGAGTTTCAAAGGCGAGGATTTTTGGAATTTCTTCCTGACGTTTCGCTGCCGCGAGTGGCTAGCTTCTTCAGAGGTTTAACCGATGTCATCGGACAGGAAGCCATGATGGTTAAACCTCTGAAGAAGCTAGCCACTCCGCCAGCAAAACGTCAGGAAGAAATTCCAAAAATCCTCGGCTTTCAAACTTGAAAAACAGTGACACTGAAATCTGAAGTCCAGTGGGACTATTGTTCAAAACAATATCATCCCTCCTAACAATAAATCATACTTATTATTATCATTATAGGTGATGACACAGGTGAATGTATGGTGATGGAAATGAGAATCATCTACAAGAATCTTTGTAAGGAATCAAGTGCAAGTGTTTGTGAGATATAATTTAATATTTATTGTAGTTCAGAATTGGGAAGTGTGTTAACAGTGATCCACTCATTTTATCAGAATATTATTAGACAGTTGTGGGATTTTGTGTTGTCTCAGCAGTGCATTTGACTGTGTTGGCAACAAAAAACTACTTTTCAAATTACAAGCACATGGAACAGAGAAAAATTCAAGAAAATCGTCGACGCGACGTTAGTATTGAGAAAATCAAGAATAACATCAGAAATGAGACAAAATTGTCAACATCAGATAAAACAACAGGTGTACGGTAGGGTTCTGTTCTGGGTCCGGAATTTTTCATTTCATATATTCTAGTAAATAATTTCGGGAGATAATTGTGCAGAGTTTGGATGTTCACGTAATTATATTTTAGGGTATTAAGAGAAATGAAGTAGAGACAAGTTTTCGGACACACATCAATTTAATTACTAATACTTTCCTGTTATCTCCCACAATATAAATTATTTGAATAAATCTATGGATATCCACCTAACAATATATGCAGATGATGCTTCAGAGACTATGTCAAAAAGAAATTATGTTGCTTAAAAATATATTGTAATGATGCTCTTGAAAGTATGAATACCTGGTTTTCAGCTGAGTCTCGTAACTATTAAAAACTTAGCAAGAACTTGTCTAGAAGAGAATGCTAATCAACTAGAAAAAAGTTATACAATAAAATTTCTAGGTATCCATTTGAGTTGGAAAACTCTGTAAGAAATTTGTTCAAATTCTTTACTCACAGAATTACCTATGCAAAAATGTTCAAAATATTTTGGATGAACATACACTTCAAAATATTTACTTTGGTCAAGTGGAATCGAGGTTCACAATTGGAGTGTTTTTGGTGATTGTCCTCACATGCAAAGAGTGTTTTTGTTGCTCTGAAGATGTATTATAAGGACTACCTCAATGTGTTTCTGAAAGAACAAGTTGTTGGGAATTATTCAAAAAGCTTTGATTTGTGACACACTACCAGCAATTTACATATTTGAATTGCAAGTGCACATTTTCAAAAATAAATATAAATTAATAAAAGGTCTATTCATAATAGGAACACAAAATACAAAAATTATTTTTGAATTCCACTGTTAAAATACAAGATATCGTACAGATCACCAGATAGTGCAAGACTAATAATATTTAATAAAAAACCAATCAAATTGAAGTCAAGGAAGTGTTCGAAATGAAATTTAACACAAAAATTCCATGAAACATTATTTTCCTCTCTTGATGATTGAAAATTTTATTTCTTGTTACTCAGAAATCCCAAGGGGGAGTTCACCCGAAGGTGCTATACCACTCAACCCATTTGTTTTGTTTCTCAAATTTATGTGTGTACGTCTGTCCTGAATGTTATTTTACGATATAAATAAGGCGGATTTCTGTATAATATAATTTCATGAAATAAACATATTGAATGAAATTTGAACCTATCTTTCATGTTAAACCAGTTCAGTTCCGCAAGCTTGTGGGACACATGTTCATACTTCCTTATTTCATATAACTCTTATTTCTGTACTCTGGACCAAGTATCGTAGAACAATAAATGAATTGTTATAAAGCAAGAGACTTGCATAACATTTTCTTTATAGGTAAATTGAGGTACATTTTGTGAGGATATAGTAATCTTAGTGCACCATAGGCTCTTTGAATATTTCGATTGATATGTTCTCTAAATCTTAACGACTCATCTAATCTATGTCTAATTCGTATTTGAGATAATGGTTTTTCGTTGAATATTCCTAGACAACGATAATCAAAAACGAAAATAAATATTGTTATTATAATTATTAGCTAGAAAAATGATTGCCTTTTTAGGGCAATTACTAATTCTAACATTGTGAAATAGTTTTCAGAAGTTATTTTCGATATAATTTTTACCAACATTGTATAATTTCACTTTGCCGATTTTTTCTCCGAACTTTTCTTTTTTGCCTTCTTTTCTTTCTTCTTCCTGAACTTTCCAAAACCCTTCCTTACCATTGTACCTCTCCACCAAGATTCAATTATAGTAGCAGCTCTATTTCTTTTGTCCATTTCTAATCGTATTTTTTCCTGTTCTACTTTGTACTGTTTATAATCATCTATTTCTTTCTGTCGTTTGGCGTACTGAAAATGTGCAATAAAAATGTGGTGTTAATAGCGAGCTTGACTCTACTTATTAGTCTGTTATAATAATTGTCATTCTTCGATAATAATATCTAATTTCAATGAATTGCTGAACTATAGTATGAATACCACTAAAAAATTCATTTCCTGAATGTTTGTTGCTTGTTTTAGAAGGTTGAGTTAGTCCTATTAGGTTTACAGTATATTATGGGAGCGAAAAAACAAATGTTAGGTCGTGGTCGAATGGAACCTGAAGAACTAAACGTTTCATCTGCTACTCCGGCAGACATCATCAGTGCGTTGGCTGGTACGTGCGTTGACTGCGAGGACGAAGGTTATAAGGGTGTCAAAAGTAAAGTTGAATAAAACTCATATAAAGCTATGATTTCTATGAAACTTTCATTATAATTCATTATATTATGTACGAAATACAATGCCATTTAGATTGGTTGCAGCAGTCGATCCTTTTGAGGTAGTTTTCAACCACTTTTTTGCACATATCTCGGCGATAACTTGACGAATGGGAATGACGTTAGGGAATATTCAGCGTTCTTTTACGTAGCCCGATAATACAACCAAAATTGGTCGTATTGTATGGCTCGTGGCATGGTCTTGTTGAAACCGCATATCGTCCAGTTCATAAACTTCTATTGCAGGCCAAAAAAGTTGGTTATCATACTGCCATAGAGCTCTGAGTTTACGGTTCTTCCATCGTCATATTCGAAAAAAAAATGCGGCTAAATGACACCTCCAGACTATAATGCGCACCAAACATTCACTTTTTCTGAATGCAATGGCTTTTCTACAAACACTTCTGGGTTCTACAAGCCCTATATGCGACAAATTTGCTTGTTGACATAACTACTGAGTGAGAAATGAGCTTCATCACTGAAGAAGTTTTTTTCCAAAAATCAGCATTGAAAGCCTGTTGTTCTAGCACCCAATTAGCGCGGCGTTGTGAATGGTCAGCCGACTACATATATAGTAGTAGAACAACAATATAGCGAACATGGCCAAAAATGATTTTTATTGTTTCTTTTGAGTAAAAACATATTTTTGATCACAGATTACTTTAGGATACCTACTAGTTCTTTCAGTCTACCAATTTTTTCCAACTGCTGGTTTTGTTTTATTTGTAGAGCTTCAACTTTTTCGTTCATTGCCGAGAGATCTTCAGAATATTTCAATTTCCATATTTCTATTAGAGCTTCAAAGTCCTAAAATAATAGAAAACTTATCTGAATAATTTACAAATTCACATAACCATGTCTGTACTGGAATTACTTTTTGAATGCTATTCCCATTTTTCCCTGGCATAGATATTGTTTCAACTTGTCAGATTCTAGCGTTTCTTTTCTTTACTTAGTTTTCAGCCTTATAGAAATTCTGGAGAGTGAATATTTTTAGTTACCTTTTGAATTTCATTGAAAGCCATTGAAATTTCTTGGTGCACTCTCACTTCCTTGTTGATATCAATATCAATAGTTCTAATTTTGTCTTGTTTTTCTTGATGTTTTTTTGAAAACAATACATCACTCATTTCGATTTTTGAATTTACCCAAGCTTTTATGTATTCTAGTTTGACTTCACTTTCTGTACGGTAATCCTAAAAGTCAATATGAGTTGTGAATAAGAAATTTCAACTTCAAAATATTATTTTTTGGAGAAGCTTTTAGCAAATATCTGATTTTGAATAAATTTTTTAGCGATTAGTGAAAATGAATCAATAACGTTACTAAATATAGTGACCAGATACTATATGTACCTACTAATAAGATTTATTTTGACTTTCACTAGGCTAGGTCCACTTCACTAGGTAAGTGGTCTTTCAGATCAGATGATAAGAGTACGGCTCTGCCAAATTCCGAAAACCTGATTCAGTCCCCAGCGGGGCAGGCGCAAAGGATGTGCTCTGCTGTTTCATCATTTTGTAAACTGTCTTTCGACAGTCTGAGTCTCTGCATATGATGATTCAAATGACAGTGACCTGTGAGAAGGCCTGTTCGACATCGTAGTTCATCCCTACTGTAGTCCAACAACTGTTTGGTATCAAGCTTCGAAGGGTGAATAAACGCCTTGGAGATATCCAATCCCAGAAGATTCTGCCAGAAGACCATAAATCTTCTTACCATCCAGGTGTTCAATCTTTGTTTGGCAAAGCCAAAAGCGACGCCAATGACAGGTTCTTGTCCGATTAAGCTGCTTGCAGCACCCTCCTTTGCAAGGGAGTCGGCAGCCTCATTGCCTTCCAGGCCTATATGGCCAGGAATCCAGACCAGAGGCAATCTGTTGAGTCTTCCTATCGAGGAGAGTCGTTTTTGGCAATTTGCTACCAATTTAGACTTTGCTCGGTAGGAGCCAAGAGCTTCCAACGAGGCTGGACTGTCCGAGAATATTGTGTATGAGGATGGATTCTTCCAATTTCTCCGCACACAATTCAATAGCGCAAATTTCCGCTTGAAATACAGGTTAATATCTCTGTCATGGGTCTGTGACTGAAAACACCTACACCAGAACCTGAAGGTGTTTTTGATCTGTGAACCAATAACTATCTGCTCTTAATATTTCCTTCTGCCGGAGAATCCAGTCCTCTCTACTCGGGAACAGTACTTTATTAGGGTGTTCGTAGTTGACAGTTGGAGGCATAAAGTCAGAGGTCATTTCCAGAATGCTGTGACTTCCAGTGTTAACCAGCAGTCTGTTGTACTCTGCATAAAATTGATTTGTGCAATTGGCAATATGCACAAATCTATATGCAGTCCATCTAGCCTCTCTCTCCACAAAAATCTGGAGAGGAGGTACATCTCCATGACCGCTGACAGTTACTGATAACACCACTGATGGCCAGACAAGCCAGTCTCTGTAATCCAGAGAACTTCTTCTGGGCCGTTTTCTGTAAAGCCTTCGGCCACCAGGCAATTGCTCCATAAGTGATCATTGGTCTGACAATCATCACATAAATCCAATGGATTTGTTTGGGGCCTAAACCCCCCAAGTTTTACCACAAAATCTTCGATATATCCATAGGGACAATCTGGCTTTGTGTAAAACTTTTTCCAAGTGAGCGTTTCAGGTGAATTTTTTATCAAGGACAATGCCAAGATATTTCACCTCCGTTCTCAATGGAATGACTTCTCACCATCGAGGGAAAGTGGCGTTAAATCGTCCAATTTTCTCCTCCTGGTAAAGGGGTTTGTAACAGTTTTGCTGGGGTTGACAGACATCTGCTCCCTCAGGCACCAACTGTGAACAACGTCCATCGTGCTTTGGAGGATATTACAAGTTACCCTTCCCGACGTGTACCTTGCCAAGATGACAAGGTCACCTGTATAAGCTTGCAGATCTACTTTTCTTTTGTCAAGGGCATCAAACAGACCATCCATCAGAAGCGGACTTTCACTGAAAAAGATTTACAAAACCGCGACACGTGTTTCGCTATTACAATAAGCGGTTTTCAATGGGATTCAATACTGCATGTATAGAGATCAAAACAAGTCGCTACATTGTTCGCTGCAAATTGTTGATATCCATTAATTCCGAAGGAAAAAGATGGTATCATTTACTTTATCTCTAAAACTTTCTGTTGGAGAGAACCATTTTTAAGTGTATAACCAAAATTCAGGGTAACTTATAAATTGTCTTTGGACTTGAATCACACCGGTCAATCGTCTCCATAGAGTTTTTTATTGTATATAGAATTGCGACAGTCTCAATTTGTTAGTACCTCCAGAAGGGATCGAAGGGTACCCATGAGTTTCCATAGAATAGAACTTTGTCTCTTTGTCACTCAATTTTTCTAAAAAACTTGTATAGGTTTCTCGAAAATTTCATTTTGATCTTCGTGTGAACCTTCTGAAAGAAATCTGATGATCTCTTGTGCGTCTTGCTGCATATAACCCATGATTCTTCATTGAATGATAATTATGAATGAAATCATAAAACAATTGGATGTCTTCTGACCAGAAATCCAATTGTTGTCTTCTGATGAGTCCATGTAGTAACTAGAGTAGAGTTTTGGCTACAAATTGTATAATCGAAGGAGAAAATGAATTTCTGTGTATTCAGATTTTTAAAATGTTGATGATTTTTGCATCAATTGTTATAATGCTCGAGAAGTGGAAGACACACAGAAGATAATATTGCTTATTGCCTTGATAATCATCGTGAAGGGACTGCCAAGTGGCAGAACAAGGCTTCTGATACTATATCTTGAAACTTAATGTTGTTTTTGTCAATAAAACACGTCGTACTACGAAGTAACTCAGTTATTGTTAACTAACGTAACGGTAATAGTAACAATATTTTGTTACGACACCTACTTGTACAGAGGAAATGTAAAGTGATACTTACAAAATGAGTTTGAATACCTATTTTATCCTATTGTTAGAAAATACGTAGGAAAAAGTTAGTAGTCCATTGAATTTTGGAAAATTATTCATAGATGTGTTATCAATTCAATGTGTATGATTGGGGGAGGACATGACCTCTATGATTTTTCATACGAACCGCGCCTGCCGACATGTAGGTATAGTTTGACATATAATATCTTCGTTAGGTAGAGGATATGGCATTGAAGTAGTTCTGTGAAAATATCGGTAGTTGTGTTTATAAACTTTAATGACCTAATCAACTAATAAACAGACATTGTCAATCTAAGAGACCAATTCTGCACCATTTTGTAGGTAATCCTACTAAAATTAAAATAAACAGAGTTCTTTTAGACATGTTGGGGCATTAGTCATAGTAGTAACTCGTTCCTTTTAGTGAAATATACAAGTGTTTTCACTTTAATCAAAGAATTTTTCTACAATGCGTATTGAATTTGATGAAAATATGTCTTTTCAGCTAGCGATCTTTTGTATCTTACCTCTATTTTATCTTTAATTCTTCCCGTTTCCTCCATACATTCCACTATTTTTTCAATGTAATATAATTTCTCATTTTGAAAAACATCTTGCAATCTTCTAACTTCGTTTTCATTCCGCGTTGTTTCATCTTGAAGATTTTCTTCATCAGCTTTCATCCTTTTGAATATATCGATAGTTTCACAGAAGTTGTCATAAGACCGACAGTTTATCAATTCTTTGAACAAGTCAGAAAGTACTGATTCAATAAACCCACAGTTTTTTGTCACTAGTACGGAATTATCAACTTGAGAGCTTTCTTCATCTGTTTCTTGATTTTTCGAGAATCTTTCTTCAAGAGTTATATATTTGAGAACTATTGTTTCATCTTCAGGCCAGCCATACATTTTGTTAAGTATGAATAATTGATCAAGGGCCTCTTTCACAATGCTGGCCAATATTTCAATGATTACATTTTTTGGTAAGTAGTCTTTGGATTCATCTGTATTTTGTTTCAAAGTTTTATTGTTCATTTCTTGCTCAGTTGTCTTGTTATATCTAATCAAATGTTTGATCAATAGTCATATTCCAAAGTACACCTCTGAACAAAAGTAGGTCCCGTAGCACGATTTGAAGCAGACTATTTTCAGAGAAGAGTTTTTATACTGAAACGCTCTTCTGGTATAGGGTATTCAGAGAGTATGAAATGATTGAATAATTTATTACTACGAAAAAAATGTGTTAATTATACACATATGTACAGAATTACAAATGATATTATTGAAAACATTTGTTTGCTAGTGGAATATATTATGCATAATTTCGTTCAACTTTGATACCACTTCACCCAGAATGGACTGTTCCATATCTTCAACGATTCTAGTAACCTTACCTTTGACGAAAGGTACAATAACTTTGGTTATACCATTTATGAGCCAGACAATCGCCTTATGACCAGTAAATTTGACGGAGATTTTGCTAAAAATGAAAATATGCTTGTTTAGATAACAAATATAGAAGTATAAAAAGTTGAAAATTCACCAATCGATTGTATATAGCCCGTGAACTTTGAACATTCATTTTATTTTTTGAACGGTCCACATACATCGTGACATGGGAGTTCTCAAAATTTTTTATGAAAGTATTATTTTCATTTGAATTGAAGGGGTTATATTTCTAGGTGTGATTAATTTTTGGGAAAAATGGGGTAGTAGAAAGCCAAAAACTTTCTTTCCCAAATATTATTTTCGAAACTGATATTCGTAAAGTATCGTTTTATATAATTTTTTTATCAATTTCCGCTTGATCGGGAGGAAAATATCAAAAAAAAATTAAGGCACGTGATTCCTATTTGTCAAATTTTATTTTTTCTGAATTATAAAACTAGACAATATTTCTCCAAAGTAAAAATTTATTAAAATAAGTTATGCAGGATTTCAGTTGCATAGTTTGTATTTGATTCCGAATGAGCTAACTTCATAAATATCAATTTTTATAAAGGTATTTCATATGTGAAAGAATAATATCGATATATATGAGAGTGTAGAAATAGGTAAACATAATAATATTATGAATAACGATGATAGACCAATACTAAATGGCATACTATATTGCTTGTTAAAATAATATTGTTTGGTTTACTGATTAGGTACTGCATAAGGACACATTGTAAATATATTTAGATAGGCAATATTGTGAAATTAATTTTTATATAGCTGAAAATTGTTTTATATATAGCTATAATATTTAAACATTACATAAGGACATATTGTAAAATAATAGATAAGGCTGATTGTAAAATTAATTTAGGGTGGTATACCTGTATGGGTGGTATATGGTATGGTTTACCTGTATGATATATCTGATTAGCATAAATAGCTTGAGTTTCGCGAAGTTTCTAGTTTTATCTTCCTCTTGAAGATGATCACTTGGTGATCGAAGTGTTAAAAATAACGATTTAGCGTTGGGAAAAAACTCGAGTAATATTCATACTGTATTCGATATCAATAAACAAAGATATAATTCATCTGATAATATTTTATTTCAATCTATCCATTTTCATGTTGAGTTGCCTTTTACCAACGACAGAGTTGATATTAGTTTATTTGTTTTCAAAGCTTTTTTGGTTTGGTATTGATTCCAATGATTTACATTTCAAATATTTCCCAAAATCGGATATATCCTGCCAGGGGTGTATTTTAGCTATAGGACATTCTTCATGAATTTGATATCCTTTTTTTTTTCGTAGTATCCAAAAATAATAGAAAAGTTTATGGTTTCCAGTTGAAAAAATCGTGTTTCATCAGTTTTCGCGATGTTATGTTTTAGATGGAAATTTCGACCACCCTGTAAATTATTTTCGAAAATGTTCATGACTTGATGTTTAAGGTGTGATTCTGTGAAATTTCACATTTTCAACTGTTACTGTCTATAAGTTATGATTTTTTCGGAGTGGTGCTGTAACTGTCAAATTTTTCAGAAAAAAATTAATATCTCGAAAACTAACAAATTTGGGTATTGGCATTGTTATACAAAGTGGGCCTAAAATGTGCTGAGAAATTTAAAAATGTAATAAAATATGGTTCCATTCCAAATAGTGTTCCATTCGAAATAAGGAAGTTGCCCTCAACTTCCAGTATAACGGAAACAGACCGGAAGTTGAAAATAGTTTAATTGAGAAGGCCATTTTGTAAAACCCACTACCACAAAATTTCAAGTTTTTATTTTGAATCGTTCTCCATATATTCCTAACGAACGTTCGTCGTGAAAGACCCTGTATAACAAACAACTACATGGTATCATCAATAAAGTCTATAAAAGAGGAAAGTTCTATAAAAATGTTTATTGGGCCGCTCCTTTTATATATCTTTATATTTCTGCCAGTGAGCTTCAAGTATTTTTTCAGTTTTGTTCACTAATATAGTGCCCCAGTTTAAATATCATTCTGATTCTAGCAGCTTGAACTTTCCTTACCCGATACTGTTCACATTACACTCCACCAATTTAAAACTGATACTGAATATAATTTTAGTGTGGAAATGGTAGCTGAACTAAAAAAAAAAGTTTATTAATTATTGAAATCATCAAAATGTATTGAAATACACCGAATAGATAGAAAAACGAAACAGCATTGTTTGGTGTTGTTTTTGGACTTTGGTTTCAACATAAAGCAATACCACAACTTGAATTTGTGTGAATGTGATCATCGTGTACTGTATAAATGAATTCTAGATATAAATAATGATTTTTTCACTCACCTCAAGCTCTTCAAACTCGATAGGAAGTGACAATGTAATCACATCCGAAGACTCGACGAATGAAAGGTCAACATCGCCCCCTCTTTCCATAGTGGTTAGATCTTGTAACATTCCTTGTGATAATTGAACCTTACTTTTTACGATCTATAAAATAAAATAATTGTTTTTCAACGTGTTACTAGATGGATTAGAATTTACGTAAGATTTCGCGCAGGGGTGTTTAGTTAGGAAAATCTAAACTAGTAGGGTAGGAGGGGGGCAATAGATCCATATTACACAATCGCAATATACGTTTCAATGTGTGACTATCCTGAAAAAGTTTAGTGCTAGTGGGTAGGGTATTTCTTTGATTTTTAAGTGCTCACAATTGACCAACCTTAATTTATTACAATATAGAACGTCGAATAAACTGGTCCTTTATACCTAAACTGACAGTAATTATTAAATTATATGCAACATTTAGTCGTATTTATATTTTTCGGAGGGACAAATTTGCTTCAATAAAGATGGTGATGATTTTAAATAAGAGTGAAATTCTTGGCACTTTTGTTTATATTGATCTTCGTTATCAACATCGCCTTCAGAACTGAAACCTGGAAGTAATTTTGTTCAGACGTCCACAATTTATTTATCAAAGAAAATATTCTCTCTACTGGAGCATTTATACCAGGTATACACAAAATATATTCAATTAAAATACAAAAATTTTCATATTGCAGATTGTTGGTGCGAAAGTGTTTGGATACTTCCACCCAACGAGTTTCTGTGTGAACTTTTAAATTATTCTAGTCTGTTTTTTTTTGTGGAGTGACGTAGTTTACAATTAATGAAAATTCGTCAAATACTTCTGTATCTTTAGTACTGTCAATATATCCCTTTTCAATCAATACATCCAAATGCTTTTTGCACATCGTCCCACGCATGTACTTTTCTTAAATCTGCCCAATAAAATATCTCCATTTCTCTAGTACGAAAGTTATTCCATTCTTCCAAATATTCACGACTTGTTTATTAAAATTCTGTAGCTGGTCTTTTCACAAAATCTTCATAAATAGCATCTTTCAGTTTTATGATTAAATTACGAACAGTAAATGAAAGAAACTGATTGGTTTCTTTCTGAATCAAATTCTGAATGAGTTGATTGATTTCTTTTGCAGCGTCAATTGCCGATACAGTTTGACTTTCAACCTTCAAAACAGCTTGGCGAAAACTTGCTGACTGAGCGGGTAAAAAACAAAGCCATAATTCAGATGAAGGATCTTCAAAAAAGTCTTTTATTGATTGGGGATATTTTTGAATGCTCAAAAATTAATTCTTAAACGGCTGGTACATTTTCAAAACTCTCTCCAAAGCAAGCATCAGCGCAAGCCAGCGAGATTTGCTCTCCAGCAGCTCCAGCGCAAAATTCCTTTAGAGCTTCAACTCCAACCGTATAAATATAAAAAAAAATTATATATTTTTACAATAATGCCTTCGTAATCTAAAGGTATGCTGTCTGCAGCAGATTTTATAGCATTGTGAATTATTTGGGCTCCATATCCGATACCTATCAACGGTTTTTTAGAGATGATTTTAGAAAACGGGACTATTTTACGTCCCAGATCATTATTTGGGGACAACGGGACAGATGGTCAAATAAAGGGACGTCTGGTCACTTTATTTATACCCCATTCACGGGGTATGAAGGAGTGTGATAAATACCCCATTCACGGGGTATGAAGGAGTGTGATAAAAAGAACCAAACTGAGTTATATGGTATCTCTCTCTGTATCTGTAGAGTAGGGAGGGTGAGTGTAAGCCCACAGTACTTAGGCCACATGTGACCCATTGTACATCCTCCCGAAGAGTTGTCCTCCTAGGTCATCGTCCAACCTGTCCTTTGGTGTTTCCTTAGTTGACAGTGACCAGTCAGAAATCCTACTGTTAGGCGTAGATTTTTCCTGGTCATTGCCAAATATTTCTTTGGCGCCAGCTTCCCAGGGTCACCCAAGGTGATCCTGGCAAGATTACATCCTTTGATTTCGTCCCACCTCTTTAAGGATTGAGCCTGGGTGTAACACTTGACTAGTTCCGCAATTGTCGAAGTCATCAGGCCATAGGTGCCACTGGGTCCTAAAATTCTTAGTCCAGCCGCTTCCTTGGCTAAAGAGTCGGCAGTGCTATTACCTTTACACCTGTCGTGCCCTTTAACCCACCTCAGGATAATGTTATTATCTACCGAGGCTTTGGCTAAATCTTGGTGACACTCTAGTACTAGCCCTGAGGTTATACGTTGTCTGTTCAAGGGTAATAGGGCTTGTCTGCTGTCAGTGCAGATTGTTATGTTTTTGCCAGAAATTCCTTTCTTGGTTAATTCTTTTGTGGCGATTGAGATACCAGCCAGTTCTGTTTGGACCACGCTGGTATTTCTTCCCATTCCCCACTTAATTCTTAGGCTTAGTGATCTGGAGTACACTCCACACCCTGAGCCTTCTGTGGTTTTTGAGCCGTCTGTGTAAATCCGTATTGCATTTGTATCATCTGACTCTATGTTCTGCTTCATTTGTATTTTGTAAGGTTTATTAAACACAAACCTGGGTTCAATTGCATCGCTTGTTGCCCGCAGCAGAGGTTGCGCAGTAAGCGCTTCCCGCCACAGGCCCAGCCTCAATTGACCCATTCCTACTTCGAGGTTTACACCAGCCTTGCGCAATCGTACCATGGCCATCAACGCAACCTCCTTAACGTACATATCAAGAGGGGTCAAACCCGTGATTAATTCCATTGCCGCGGTTGGTGTTGTTCTCATGGCTCCTGTGATGTTTAAACAAGCCATTCGCTGTATTTGGTATAATTTTTGGATGGCCGTTGCTTGTAGAACTTTCGGTCCCCATGCAATGGCTCCATACGTTAACATAGGTCTTATTATTGCAGTGTAGATCCGGGTGACCACACGGGGTGAAAGACCCCATGCACGTTCCACTGTCCTCCGACATTGCTCATAAGCAACGTATGCTCTTTTTGCTCTACTCTGTAGATGAGAGTTCCACGTCAGCTTCCTGTCGAGGATAGTACCAAGATATTTTACCTCTTCAGAGAAGTTTAGTTTGCTTTTGAAGATTTCGGGAGGTTTTTAGCCCGTTAAACTTCTTTTTCACTTAAACTATTCATTATTTTTCGATAAACTAATGAAGATGAGACGATGTGGCTACTGAAAAAGTAACCCCACTTCACGATTTTGGGTCAATTCATCAGCACCATTCTATCATTCTGTAAAACATATTTTATATTCCATGTTGCAACTTCATCAATCCATCTCTGGCAATTTGAATGTATGCCAGTATGCGGAATATTAGAGTACCATCTCAGCTTAAAAATTTATAATTACTGTGAATAATGAACCATAATTTATTCAATAGTAAAAACAACTTTCTGTGTAACATAAAACCATTCAAACCGTAGAAGAAAAAATACAACAAAAGAAAACATTGTGAACATTATCACTGTAATTAGGAATCACACGTTACAAGGTAAGACCTCGTTACTTCGACTTCTGAGGGTTGTTGTTCGTAGCGGTGCGCTAGCTGGTTAACGGAAAAACATATTTTTTTTTATAAATTGTCAAACGATAGTTATTCGTCATCAAGTGGTTTCAAAATCCAAAATTGACGACGACTAGCATTTGTCTATGTCTCTTCGACTAAGTGCAAGTGCTATCAGCACTTGCACTTGCAAGTGCTATCAGCACTTGCACTTAGTCTTCGTTTTTCACTTGTGAAAGAAAATAATACTGTATAAAAGTATGCATTCGATTTTTTATTGAATGAAATTGAAAGAAAAACTGTGAACATAAAAGTGACTTATGAAATGTTCACTTCATTGAGTGTCAGAGGATTCTGAAGAAGTTTAGGATTCATGACATAAACTGTGTTGTAAATTGGTCAGACTAAAGACTAAACGAAGAGAGCTTGTGGCGCATATCCGATTTCGTAAACTAGAAAATTCTAGTGTTGTTTTAGAAAATGTTAATGGGTATAAAATGAAAGAACATAAAATTGATCTGAATAATGAAATACAGGGTAAATAAGAAGTAAATATCTCACCTTAAAAGAAACGTCTGGTAAACTTTGAGAATCAAAGTTGTGATCACGAAGGATTCGACGCACTTTTTCAAAAATCTTGTCCGCATAGTTATTTATATTAGCTGTTTGGTCTTCTAGACTGAAACAAAAAGGCTAGATGTTTCGAAAAAGTAAGTGTAGAATAAATAATAGGTGTTATCATTCTGATATGTGTGTGGGAAGCCTTGTTATGAATGATATATTTTTCAAATTCATACAGAATGTTTGGAATACAAACTGAATGGGAACAAAAGATTTTCGTATAATTCAATGTTCATAGAGTTATTTTCCTTTCGTGTAATATGTTCTTGTAAAAGTACCTAGTTGTTTTGAAAGAGCTTTTTTCCAGTGTAAATAAGAAAGACTATGCATGCTCTACATATCTTTGTTAAGAGTTTTCATTTGATTATGGAGGAAAAAAAGCCATTTTTCCTATTTTAGACAGTCTTATTTTGAATCAAGTATATTTCTATAATATGTTAGTCAAATTTGTTTTTGTCGAATGGTAGGTAAAGGTTGAGAAATCATTGTGTAAAAAGGTGTTAACAGACTTAAAATCTGTGGAAGAATTGGATTAAAAAATTAATGAATATTAAAAAAAATCAAACACTGAAAATAACAGGAGCAACATAAACGAAAGAGTCAGTTGAAATAAATTTTATCAAAGTTAGATAAAGTTGAGAAAAAATTAATTTCCAAAATGGCTGCTTTATTATATTCATATTTTGACGTTATACCTACGTTTTTCATATCAACATCACATGTTTTTCTAGAACTAGATTGTTTGAGTCAGACAAATATTCAAATAAAAATGAATAAACAGAACAAAAACTGGAAAATAGCTTTGACACAATGAATTATGATTGTTTATTAACAAAAAAATTGAGTGACAGAAGTTATTTTTACAAACACGTTTTTATCTATTACCTTATGCCTCCTAGTAGTTTTGAGATATTTTCTTCAACATCCTTATTTGATATTATCTCTGAATTATGTTCTTTCAACGTTGTCTTCAATATTCCTTCGAAATTAGTTTCATTAACTTCCAAAGATTCGTTGAAAACAACGAAATAAAGAAAAACGACCAGGGATGTCAACTTCATATTCACTGATGCTGAATTGGCTTTGTACAGGCACATTCCTAATTACCCAGCTATTTATAAGGTTATTCAAGTGGTAATGCTGATTATTCCTAAATTTCATTGATTGTTTGGTTTGAGTGTTCTGAAAGTCATATCGGTGCATTTCAAAATTTCGCAATATTCATTATTCAATCATTAAGATTGCCAATGGATTATTTTTCTTGGTGAAATTTGCTGAACTATCGTTCAGGCGCTGATGACGGTATTACCTACTTTGGAGTTACTTTAATTACTTTCGAAAGTTTCATGGAAGTAACAAACATAAAAATTATAATTATAATTATTATAATTATTAATAATATAATAATAATAATATTCACGAAAATATTCCTGGAGTAATAACACTGAATATCCCCTGAACCTACAGAATATTTATCCAGTTATTTATGGACTATTCAAAAAATTAGGTGAATGTTTAAATTTCGAGGGCAACATACATTCGATTAGCGTTTTTTTTAATGTTGTATACTCCCCTCGAACATAGGTTCACAGTTTCAGCTACATAGCATGTTTAGTTCGTTGGTGAGAGGAATACAAGTTAAAAGAGTTTTGCGTGTTCAGCGATTTTTTACTTCGAAAAAAATGAATCAAAGGATTTGCATCAAATTTTGTGTGATAAATGAAATAAAGTACTCAAAAACACATGAAATGTTTTAGCAGAGGAGCCCACGATGCAAAATGGGGATTTACTCGAGCGTCATAGAAACCTATTGGGTTGCAAAACTTAGATGATAAGGAGAAAACAATGTTATATAACATATACCTTTTCATCGGTGGGGGAAGCTGCTATAGATTATTAAATATGTAAAAAAAAACTGTTGCATGGACATACTCGAGCGCGTCAGATGTTGATACCATCAATGTCCTACGTATATTTAATATTGTTGGTATGTTAATCTGATCATTTGCATGATGTGGGTGGTTGTACGTAAGGGTTAAAAATGAAAAAAAAATTAATGAGCGCGTCAGATTTTCTAAGGGGGTGTTGAGTGCACCAAAAAAAAGCTCTCATTCAATAATCTGACGATTTCGATCTGACGGAAACTCGCGACCATATAATGTGAAAAAAAATCGTCATTTTGAAATACTCAAGCGCGTCAGATTAAGATATTTATGGTTCATCTTTATGTTTCAGACGTGATGTCTCATAATCTGACGATTATCTAGAGGGATTCGTCTAATCTGACAAAAAAATATTTTTTAGAGTTTTTTCAATCATTGAACTTAATTAATTGAAAAGCTCAGGAAATAGCATGCAAATAAATAAGTGTATGTTTTTTAAGTAGAATACTTGTATTTATAAAAAAATAATAAAAAAATGCTCAAAGAAGAAAAGGGAAAAGAAGAAAAGGGAAATGAAACTTTCTATGTTTTTAACCACTTTTATTTGTAACTAACTTTACTGCACTTACTTATATAATATATAAGTTTGAAAATGTCCTTATAGGACGACACTGCAGTGACGTTAGTTACAAATAAAAGTGGCAAAAAACATAGAAAGTGTTAGTTCCAAATAAAAGTGGTAAAAAAATAGAAAGTTTCATTTCTCTTTTCTTCATCAATTAATTGATTAATTAACCATCATCTTCATCTTCATCATGAACGAGTCTCTGTGATCAGCTGTGATGGCGTCATGGCAACAGAATTCAGAGTGGGGACGGAGAGTAATAGATAGAGAAAAAGTGAAAAAGGAATAGAAGCGCGGAGAGAGAAATATAGGCATCACGCAGCTGCACGCGTTAAACTTTCTTTTTTTTTTACAATTTTGCTGCCCACCCCTTTCTTTACGTCACTCCTAAATTGTCAGATTACTGGAATCTAATATATAAAAATGGATGTTTGTTGGTTGCTTGGTTGGTTGGTTGGTAAGTGATAAACTTCTATATCGCTCAACCGATCGTGATGAAACTTAACATGTAACTATAAGTAATTTTTCATAGAGAAGGTTTTTAGGCTATCAATTTTTTGTAACTCGCCACTAGATGGCGCTGTAGAACAATTTTTTGAAAGCACTGTTCTATAACGCTGCGCACGCCTAAGTTCATTCATTCTGATTATGTCAAAACATTGGAACAGCAGCGATACAGCAACATAGTACTAGTATAATATAAATTGATGGATGTAGCCGTTACTTCGTGGTAGGAGATCATGATGAAAAGAAAAATGAAAATTTCTATGTTTTTTACCACTTTTATTTGTAACTAACGTTACTGCAGTTCCGTCCTATATGGACATTTTCAAACTTAAACAAACTTAAAAATAAAGAGTTTATTGTTTAGAGTTTATTCACTTCTACTCAAAAATAAAGAGTTCATTGTTTAGAGTTTATTGTTTACGTTTGAAAATGTCTATATAGGGAGAAACTGCAGTAACGTTAGTTACAAATAAAAGTGGTAAAAAACATAGAAATTTTCATTTCTCTTTTCATACTGGAATATACACTTTTTAGCATGTAATTAACTCACCCTACCTTAATCTGACGCGCTCGAGAATTTCTGATGATCAATTTCTTTTTACTAATCTGATCCTTTATCCTTCACGGGTGGCCTTATATATGGGGCTCATATTTGGTGGAGGTACTTAACTGGGTACAATGTATCCCCCTGTACATTAATCTGCCGCGCTTCAGTGAATCCCAAAATCCCCGCTTGTGCTCCCCTATTATTACAGTGGTGTACGGTGGTCGTACCCTGAGCCAAAAAATGTTTTACAAGTGGTATATATAAGCTTTTCACAGAAAGTCGAGAAGATGTGAATGACGACGCTCGCCCTGGACGTCCCAGCACATCAACAACCGATGAAAATGAGAAAATGAAGAAAATTGTTATGAAGAATCGTCGAATCACTATTAGAGAAGTTACTGAGGATGTTTTTCGTAAATTTTGGACATGAAGCGTGTGGTAGCTAGATTTGTTTCAAAATTGATGAATTTTGACCAAAAAACCGTCGCATGAGCATTACTAAGGAATTGTTTTATGACATTAACGGCGATCCAGATTTACTTGAAAAGGACATAACTGGTGACGAATCATGGGTATGTGGTTATGACATCGAAACCCAAGTCCAATCGTTCCAATTGCAGAGCCCAGAAGATCCAAGACCAAAAAAAGCACGCCAAGTTCGATCAAATGTCAAGGTTTTGCTCACTGTTTTCTTCTATTACCGTAGCTTAGTGCATACAAAACAACTTATGGTTTTTGCACCACGATTTTCCGTTATTTTCTGAACATACATCGTAAAAATTTTGTATTACAGCAATAAGAGTGCTAGCAGTGAAATGAGGAAATTGTCATTAAAGAAATAAAGACAAGAAGCAAAATGATTTTTAATGACAAAATTTCAGTAAATTTTATAATTTTCATATGAGTCTACTCTAGGAGTTTTAGCCAGAAACATTTCTTAACAGAATTTAGCAAATTGTCACTACGTAGCAAATTTTCTGCACAGCACATTCTATTGAATATAATGCGTTTTATCAGTGTAATACCAATAATAATATTATCGTCAGTTAAAGGCGTGACTCCCCTTGAAATTCAGCCCAACAATGGGAGTGGTACATATTTTATTATTTGATTATTTCAAAGGCGAAGTCCTTATCTCAACAAGCGTAAATTCAATTATCGCAAAATCAGACTATTGATTAGTCGCACCCAACTTTATTACTTGAGATTCATAACAAGCATGGACATTGTCGGAAAAACAGAGTAACATTTCACAATAAGTAAAAATTGTATGGGAAAACACTAGGATCAAAAATAAATGAAAATTACGTTCATTAGATCTCACAATAGTTGAGTAAAAAAGAAAAGAATGTAGCATCAAAAGTGACAAAAATTACAATATTCTAAACTATAGCTTGGAAAAAATCATCGATCGTTTTGGAAATAGAATCAAGCAGTATTAATTTGTTTTACATAATTTTTGATTGAGTTCAGGTTGGGTATTTTTTTAATGATGAGCGGAATTAAAAATATATGAAAACGTGACAGATACAATCCTGAATCACTTTCTACAAGAAAAACCATATTTCAAAACACAATAATTAGGTAGGTACAATAATTAAGTGCGGAATAGTAATTTATCAAAATATCCAAAGTGAGAAAGTTTTGCAAATACTTAAAACAAAATCGATATGGTCGCTCCAACTGTTATCACTGGAATGCTTACATTCGTATATTTTGAGAGAAAATACCACAGTATTCCTTTCGATTTGTTTGGAATGAATTAATTTCTACAGTGATTTTGCATATTGGCAACTACCAGCTCATCCAATAGTCTATCAGAATGTGTAGTCATTTCAAAAATATCCAATCTCTCACAATACAATTGTTAATTTTTCTGATTCCTCCTTGATTCTCTGGCTCTGTGAATTTGAACAGTTTATGATTCACGCTATATACTGTACTGTCGATCCGCCCCAGTCCGCACGGGTGCAATGCTGATACTAAATATATAAACGCGTGCGATCGCTGCTAATCATAAAGTGCTATAGGGCGAAGCGCGGCCTTCGAAGCGTTATTTAAAGGCACGCATTGCTGGCCTCACGGCCGGTTCCACCGCAACCGCTACGTCCCTGCATTTTTAATCTATGATATTCTCGAAAATATTCATTTAAATTACATACTGTGAAGAGCTATAATAAGTGCACAATGTATTTAAGGTACTAATTATATAAGTATTAATGCTGCATTGCTTAAAATCGCTTCGTAAATCTTCGAGGATAAAATATGGTTATTTTGGGTTATCACTAAGAGATAGACATATACCATCGGGACTTTTTTGTAAACCTTTTTGTGGTCTAGAACAGGGGTCTCCAAACTTTGAAGCCTTCGGGCCATAATAATTTTTTCAGCTTGTTCCAAGGGCCAATTTCTGCCCTTAACTATATTTCTAGACTAGGATAGTCGCAAAGTGCGTGACCTAAGCAATATTATTGTGTATTGTGACACTTAACGACATCTAGTGGCGAGTAGTGGTACTATGTACTATCTTTTTCAGCTACCCGCTAGGCGGCACTAGACGTAATTAAATATTTGGAATTACCGCGTTGGTTCGAGAAAGTTCTGGTTCTAGCTAGTGTATTCCGATCACCTCGAGATGGCAGTAATAATTACATATAAAAAGGCTAGCGGCGCAACTGCGAGTTAGTCTGCGTAGGAAAGGCGATGGAAGCGAAATTGTCTATTGTGAAATAAAGAAACACCCGTCAGTAAAAATATTTTGATTTGACTTATTGTTTTTATGTGTGATTTGTTAGTATGGAAAAGAAGCGAAAAATCGACAGTGAATGCAGAACGTTGCACGAAAAATGGAACTTTCAGTATTTTGTGATTGAGTCCAGTAATAAGGCGCTATGTTTAATTTGTAATGAAACCATAGCTGTTCTCAAAGACTATAACGTTAAACGACACTATGGATCGAAACATCTTCAAAGTTACTCCAAGTATGCAAAAAGTTTGCGGAAGGAAAAATTTGAAGCTTTGAAACGCGGACTCAAATCGCAGCAATCTTTGTTTACCAAAGCGAATACTGAACAAGAGTCTGCAACTCGCGCCAGCTTTCGTGTGGCTCTTGAAATCGGAAAACGTGGCAAACTATTCACCTATGGAGAAATGATAAAAGAATGCTTGATTGCAGTAGCCGAAGAAATATGCCCCGAAAAGGTAAATTTATTTCAAAGTGTCAGTTTGTCAGCAAACACCGTGGCTCGGAGGGTGCAAGACATCGCAGAAAATATATCATCTCAACTGTCTGACAAAAATGGACATCATGAGTGGTTTTCTCTAGCATTGGATGAGTCAACGGATGTGTCAGATACTGCTCTGGTGTTGATTTTTATTGGCAGAGTAGATAAAAGCTATGAAGTGTATGAAGAACTTCTTGATATTGATAGTATTCACGGCACGACAACTGGGGTAGATATTTTTAAGGAAGTTGAAAATGCCATTAATAAAAAGAACCTTCGATGGAGAAATTTGAAATCTATAACAACTGATGGAGGCAAAAATATGTATGGTAAAAATAAAGGAGTGGTTGCACTTTTGTCAAAGGCTGTAGAAAATGATGGTGGTTCAAAACCATTAGTCTTACATTGTATCATTTATCAACAGTCCTTGTGCGGAAAATGTTTGGATATGTCTGAAGTTCTAAATCCAGTCATATCAGTTGTTAACTTCATCAGATCCACTGGGCTGAATCACCGACAATTCCGCGAGTTTATTCAACAGATTGGAGAAAATGATTTACCATATCATACTGCCGTACGCTGGCTTAGTTGCGGAAAACTCCTTAAGCGCTTTTTTGAACTTCGAGCAGAGATCGAAATTTTTTTAAATGAGAAGCAGCGCCCTTTTGCCGATTTAGAAAATAGTGAATGGATGTGGAAGTTAGCCTTCTATATCAAATCCTTCAGGCAGAAAATAATACTATTTCAATCGCAATTACGTAAAAAATGTTTCACACATTTTGAAACATGTGAAATATTCAGCCACACTACAGAGACTGAATTTCCCGTCAATTTTGCAATCGAAACTTTGAGTGCTTTGAAGATGAATTTTGATACTCGTTTTCCAGATTTTGATGTCATTGCGAATGAAATTAAGCTTTTTCAAAATCCTTTTGATTCTGACATTGAAACCCTGTCTCCGAAAGTCCAAATGGAAATTATTGATTTAAGGTGCAGTGATATGCTTAAAAACAAATATCAAAATTCATCTTTGTTGGAATTTTATAAGAGTCTTTCACTGGAACAATTTGATAATTTGCATAAATTTGCTCGTGGGTTGTTTTCTGTTTTTGGTACTACTTACTTGTGTGAGAAAACGTTTTCCAAGATGAAGTACACAAAGAATGTTTACAGATCTCAATTAACCGATGAGCATCTAAAATCTCTTTTGATAATTGGTACAAGTAAAATTAATCCACAACTACAAAGTATTGTCTGTGGAAAATCACAATTACATAAATCTCATTAGTGTTTTTGTTTTACTGTGATTCACTTCAATTATTTGTTAGTTATTAATATGCTTAAACTTAGATACTTAAGTTAAGTTTTCTCATCATTTCTGTCGTTAAGTTTTACCTTGCAAGTAAATAAAACCGAGTAATTATCATTCAGTGTTTTCTTCTTCAACTTATCACAGCAATAGTAACAACAATTAGGTAATCATTGGCTGTCCCGGGCCAGATTGATGACAGTAAATCATTGGCTGTCGCGGGCCAGATTGATGACACTGGCGGGTTGGATTTGGTCCGCGAGCCGTAGTTTGGAGACCCCTGGTCTAGAATATGATCTATCTAGTAGAAATCATCCAGCGTTTGCAATGTAAGCGCCAAAAGTGTTTATTTGCGATATTACATCAGAAACCTCTGAAATTATCAGTGTTTCTCTACTATATTATGGATGTTACATACATATTAATCTTCTTCTTGAATCACTATATATTAAAAAAACCGTATCAAAATCCGTTGCGTAGTTTTAAAGATCTAAACATACATAGGGACATGTGATGCACTGTTTGGAACCTTTGGTGTAAAGAATATTACTGGAGTTTTTTCCCCAACACCAAATCGTTATTTTTAACACCTCGACACGTGTTTCGATCACCAAGTGATCATCTTCAAAGAGGAAGAATAAATCAGAAAATGAAATCAGTTTTAATATTCCTCTTTGAAGATGATCATTTGGTGATCGAAACACGTGTCGAGGTGTTAAAAATAACGATTTCGTGTTGGGGAAAAAACTCCAGTAATATTCATTACTTCACCAAAGGTTCCAAACAGTGCATCATAAGTATCTTTGGTGTAGTAATTAATATTACTGGAGTTTTTTCCCAACACCGAACCGTTATTTTAACACCTCGACACGTGTTTCGATCACCAAGTGATCATATTCAAGAGAAAGATAAAACTTCTTTTCGAAGATGATCACTTGGTGATCAAACCACGTGTCGAGATATTGAAATAACGATTTGGTGTTGGGAAAAATCTCCAGTAATATACATAGGGACAGGCAGCGGGAAGCGATTTTGTTTTATACTATGTAGTGGAGACAACAATATACCAACATGATCAAAATATGTTCAGTGTTCAGTTGGTAGACTGTTTTCTGACTGTCAACAACACTCCAGACTACCTGGTTTCGAATTAAATTCAACAGTACGTAACGTAACCACGATTACGTAATGTTGGTAACATTTTTTGTTGGAAATCGACTGTAATTTGTGGAATTAGGAAAATTTATTTCATGAAAAAAGTACCCTAAGTTGAATTCATATTTTCAATTTGGATATTGATTTGAAATATGATTAATACTGATATACGTTTTTCAGATGAAATACAGCGAAAGTTCTGAAATGACTTTTAAGTTTTGAAAACGAAAAAATATTGTTTTTCGAAAGTTCAACGATCAAAGAAAAGCTAAGTATAGAAATTTCATTTTTTTCTATTGTATTTTTCAATTTATAGGCAAAATTTATTAATACGATAGCTTACTGAATAATTGGATTCACTCCATCTCAACAAGAAAGTTTTCGCTGATCATAATATTCCGTTTTTTAAATTCCAAAGTTGAGGATACCCCATACTGAAGACTACACATATAATAAAAATTCTATAAAAAATGATGAATAAAACTTATGTTTTTATACCATTTAGTAGCGTGGTATTTCTAATTTTGATGATGATCTACCACACAGTAACGGCTACATCTATCAATTTATTGAAATTTCTATAATTATATTTTTATAGTACAATGAAAGTTCTAACTGTAGAGTCTGAATATATTTGCTATATTTCTACAGATAAAAAATATAAAGCAAAAAATAGAATTTCGAATTTCTTTGTTTTTCTCGGTACCAAAAAATGTAGAGTTAACGAGTTCTCAGAATCATTTAATAGTTATAGAATATAAACAACTCTACTACAATTCAACCTATAATTTTCAGGAGATCCCCATTCATCGCGTGGAATTTAAATAGCCCTGTATGCTATTGATATATAAATGATACCTATTAGAACATAAATAAAGATAGGAAACAATATAAATAGTTGTTTATTGAATAATGACATCGTATTGAAATAAAATAAACAATAGTTTTTATAGTTTGATTAAGGTCAACACTGATTTGAATGCCTGGCGCATTCTATTGCTTTGTTGACAAAGTCTACTATAGAATCCAAGGAATCCTTCAACAACCAATCGACAATATTCAGAATGACGGGTTTCAGAAACAGAGTCAATACTGAGGTCATTGCATTTGTGATCCAATCAATCAAACCGTGGCCAGTAAATCGAATAGAAATACTCCTGAAAAATAAAATGATTCATATTTGAACCAATATGAGGGTGTAACTATTTTGCTGTCTGCAGGTCAGCAAATTGTTCTGGGTAGACATTGCTCTTGTAATCTATAAGTAGGACAGACATTCTTGCAGGTCAGGTCTGCTAGATATGAATCTCGAAAAGCTTAATCATTTTCGACAAAAAAGTTCCAACCCCCACCCTGCTAAAATTTCTGCCGACATGCAAGGTTTATTTTCAACTTTATGAGATATGTGAAACTTTTTCATACTCAAAGGGTAAGGGTTGAATATTTTTTCGTTGAAAATGATTAACCTGGTCGAGATTCATACCTGGGAGACCCGACCTGCAAGAGTTTCTGCAAAATGTATTTTCAAATTTTCAAGAATTGTGAAATTTTTGGGTGGGGGTTGGAAAATTTTTCTGTCGAAAATGATTAACCTGGTCAAGATTCATGTTTGGCAGACCCGACCTGCAAGAATTTCTGTTCATCTACAAGATCACGAGAGCAATGTCTACTGAAAACAATTTGCTGACCTGCAGACCTGCAAAATAGTTACACCCTCAGTATGATGGGTTGCCTATATCTCAGATTTTACAGACAAACGATTATCGAGTTTGTTTTTAATATTAATATTTGGAGTAACGCAATCGAGAAACATGGAGAGTTAGGAGCTGTTGCTATTGAGAAAGTGCATTAAGTTCTCCTCAGAAAAATTCAAAAATCAGTCACCGCGATGTTAACTTGACTATAGATCCGCTTTTCATTTTCGTATGACTACATTTCATTTTCAAATACACTTTGTAAACTTACCCCGAATTCCTGATGTCGAAATCGTCCAGATGGGCCTTGAATCCTTTGAAATCGAAACTAAGAATAATATTGATTTTCACATCATTCAGTTGTCCTTCTACTCCACCCGATATAGATAGCGGAAAAACATGTGTATTGTAATCATAAGTAAACTGAAACAGAAATTCAGATTTCATTTGAAACTAACCAAAAACGTTTGAGAAGGTCCTTCTTGGAGTTGATCCTTACAGCTACTAGGCCAAAGATATTTTGTTAAAGACACACTTGCAACAGTAAACAAAACAACATTCATTCCTATCCTACACAGAGAACAATGTGTGTTGAGAAAAAATCCAAATGGTAGTGAATAACTTTGTAACTGATGTAGGAAAATATATATCGATATTTTGAAAAAGAACATTGAAATAACATTATTTCACTCGAGTAATAAATTCATGTTTTCTCAATAACTCCATCTCATTTCATCTAGAAGAATATATAAGTTTGTATGTATGTAAAATGTGATGTTCTATATATATTAGTTATTTTTGTGTAACAGTTGTCTTTGAATTCGTAAAAATTGGTTGAATTAACCAACCAAGTTGGCATCTTCAGCTTTATTCGTCTCCTGAAGACGCCAACTTGATTGGTAAAACCCGCGCCAGAGGTTCCAGTTTTATCTTTTATATTCAGTCTGTGTTGCTTCGTAAGTAGAAGAATCTAATGGACAAAATTTTCAAACTCACCTTCAGGGCGTCAAATTTAACTGGTACTTGTAACTCTAATGACCTCCTAGAAGATCGATATATGACTTTTATATCGGTGTTTCTTGATAATGTTGATAAATTTTGTAACCAACCATCAGATAATGCCATATTCCCCCATGGTATCAACTGAAAGAAACATTTATAGTATTCTAATACTTGATTGTGATTATAAAAAGAATAGATAAATAGAAACAAATTTGTTCTGGCAGTTAATGAGAACAACTGACTACAGTATGACTACTAAACTTAGTTCATTAATAATTTGTCATCAACATAATTACAGTGTTTTTTAATAACATGCGACAAGGTGTGAACAAAATAATTTAATTTTTGTATGTGAAAAACGTACGTTTCATGAAAGAAGTCGAGAGTGAGGACACTAATTTCAGTCAAACATCAAAAAGAATTTCAAAAATATTATTCACTTTAAGGAGAAGCAGTGTTATATATCACATCTTTTTAAGGCAAATTCCATGCGAACGCAACTGGTAGGAATAAACAATTATTTTGTTTATTCTGGTCAAATGGAAGTTTGAAAGTAAAAACATTTTTTTCTTATTATTTCAGCATCCTGTTAACCTAAGTGAACTCCTCAAATATTGAATGAAACGCTGATATTTGATAAAAAGCCATATAAAAACTTAGTAATGTACTTTACTGTGAGATTATCGCCAAGCAGGTTTACAAAACCGTAATAATGTTTTATTCCTGCTTGTGGAAGTGAAAATCTCAAAGTAAACTATATTAGTAAGTCCTCTTCGACAATACTTACTTTCAAAGATTCACATGGTAGCTCCACAGGATCCAGACCATTTCGCATAATAAGTTTCTGTATATGTGAAATTATTTTATCGCCAAACTCATCAATGACAGCTATTATCTCACCCCTACAAGAATAAAAGAGAATAGAATAGAATATTATGAATATTAGAAGTCTGGATTGATGTGAGTAATAAATATATATCTTTCCTCACTAAGACAACATTTATGAGATAGACAAGAAACTCAAACTCAAAATATCAGTGATGAATAAGGATCCCAAAAACTGCTCGTTTTCTGCACCTCTCACTAGAAGACAAGAAGCTGAAACCAGATTCTAAAAACAAAGCATTCGTTGTCCAACACGACCAGAATGGGCCGTTTTAACCTGTCATAGGTCTCACCACTGGTGCTAGACTGGATAAACAATGCAGGACAAGTTAGACTGTAAGTAAGCATGGGTATCTTCCCCTACGAAAACGTCGTCTGTTTATCGACAGAAGAGTTAAACCATGAATATTATTGATAAACGAGTTTTCCATAAGCAGTTTGTTCTAACTCTATCTAAAACAACTTATTTTAATTCATTCCTACCTGTGGTAGCAAATGCAGTAGGAGTTTCATCTTCTGCTAGCGTGACAACTAGGGACACACGATTCATAGGTCTAGTGGTTTACCACCTATAGGTGAGAGAGGTGCTCTTTGAAACATGATTATTATATAGCCTGTTTGACTCGTGAATCTAGTTTCTTAACACCAACCAATAGAAAAAACCAATCCTAGAAAATTTCTAGGAATACCAACTATACAGAGAAGATGCGACTGCGGAATCTGAATAAAGAGATCGGTTTAGATAAAGACCTAGCAAAAAACAAGGAGAGCTACAAATATTGACCATGTTTCTTTAGTTTGTCATTGACCAATGTCCCAACCTCTGAAAACATTTTCAGAAAATAAACAGTGAGGCCATGCCAAACTGACACACACACACCATAATAAAAGTTCATATACTCTTGTGCAAATATAAATGTAGAAATTTCCACTTTGATATCATTAGTACGAAAGTATATTTTCTCTTACCCATCATCTGTGAGTTCTTGAAGATGTGTTTCATTCCAAGCACGAAGAATTTGAAAATCGCCATTACGTAGCTTCCTTGTGTATTCTTCTTTGATTGTTTCTTGATAAGTGGAAGAAACAGTTGCAGAAATTAAGAGTACACTGAGAATTACATTCATTCTGGATGTTGTTATTGACTAGTATTGCTAATGGTTGTGTTTTTATTCTCCTCTGAATTGATCAATCGTTATCATTTTTGAACAGCACTGTGACAATCGTGAGCACTCACTCGATCTTTGGATTGATTGATCATCCTTTGTTTTTCAGCTGTTGTGCAACGAACACCTTTGTTTAATAAAACCTGTGGAAGAATGATGCACAAATTAAGTTCAGATACGGACTACTGTGAAACACGCAACTCCTGATGATAATGCGATAAAAGTAATGAAGATACTATTGAGAAATTCTTTTTGAAATATTTATTCCAAAATCTGCACGTTGAAACCATTTCTGGAAGAAATCAATTCACTTGAAAGTAAACAAACCTTTGAATCGGCTGTTTGTGGACTTTGACCAGAAAGATAGTATATAAAGAGACCATCCTTTACAGCATTCGTGAGTGGATGCAGTAAAGGCGTTGAGTCAGCTCATAAGTACGTGAACCATCGAATTCATGATAGGTCTTAGTGGAATTTTGGTAGATCACATAGACTCGGAGAAAGATACTATTTTTGAAGGAGATTTATCGTATTATCTCGGTGGTCGGTTCCGAGTGAGTTTCTTGTATGTTCTTGGATCAAGTACAGTGATTTTATACTTGTATGCCCTGGTGTTCACGATATTGGCATTTGTTCTCTTATCAGGCAATACTAATTCATACTTATACATAGCTTTTCAACTCTCCAAGTCCTGATCCAATAACTGAACCTAAAAAAAGGTTTGCAGCCAGGAAACAACTCAGTCGTCTCCTCAAGAGCGGGGTACCTTATTAAACCGCCTTGCACCAAATTCTTGAGCGGCGTCTGTCTCAGTCTCTGTCTCAGGTGGAGGAACAAACACCCCATGAGTAGGTTAGCAAACGTTTGCGCTCAAGTGATGATTCATCAAAACCAGAGGCAAAAAAGCCCTGCACGGTTGAATCTGAGGCATCGTCAGGTGTAGCTGACGTGCAAAAACGCTCATATGGGAAGGTTGTCGCGGGTATCAAGGTGGGACTACCTCATTAACAATGAAACAGCAGATCATATACTTTGTGCCCGCCCCGCTGGGGACCGAATCAGGTCTTTAGAGTTCGGCAGAGCCGTACTTTTACCATCTGACCTGAAAGACCACCCACCATAAAAACTAATCGGCTTCGTTAAGAAGCTGGGTTTATTTGGTCGATTGTGAATAGGCAAGAACCACAATAAACCCTTGCGGGTTGCGGTGGAGGTCGAATAGACCCACTCACTTCCCCATGTTTTGTTTGCTTAGGGTGTTTTACGTATATTTAGATTTTCAACGTTGCAGTGTGGATTTCCTTAGCAATGTTGTTCGAAGCAGAACGAATCATTGATTCAACATTCGCAATAATATCCTCGGATGGATTTATGACGAAGTTTTCATCTTGAACTTATTTTAGTTTGTATACATATTTACATATTTATTTATCGATGTCATAGCAATCTTTGAAGATAATCTGAGTGGTATATACCCATACTTAGGGATGTGATAATTGAGTTGCTCTACCCATGTAACTACGAGATTTGCTTTCCGAACTCACATCTAGATAATCAATCACATGGTGTATTATTGGAAAGCTGCCTTACTTCGTATCCCAGATACTCTTCGTCAGTCAAATCCACAGTGTCAAATTCCTGACAGATATATGATATTTTCCCCATAATGGACTCTTTATCGAAAGATATATTTGACGAGTTGAAGGAGGAGTTCCAAAAATTGAAACATCCCCAACTTGACAAAAATGAAGTACAAGAAAAATCTAATCAAGATTCAGGTAACTATTATGTAAACGACGGTGATCTGTTTGAAAAAATTTTTTTCGTAGTGTCAAAACTAGATGAGATCCTATCGAAACTCAAGAAAGATTCACCTGATTATATCAAGATACTGGCCATGGTCGTTTCTATTCTGTACGAAAAAGCTAAAATGGCTCTCCACGAAAAAACTCTCGAGAAGTCAAAAGAATTTCTGGAAAAGGGACTTGATCTCATCAAGGAAGACATTGACAACCCTCAGATCACTTTTGTCTACTTGAGGATCATCAACTATCTTTCCTACGTTGTTTCTAGGATGGGAGACTTGGAGAGAGCTCGGACTCTTCTCGAAGCAGTCGTGAGCAAAGAACTTTTGTCTGAACCGATAGTTTACAGCACCGAAGATCTTTTTAACGTTAAGAAATCTGATCCAAGGACTAATAAGGTCAAAATCCAGAAATTAATGATCAATAACATGCAGATGTTAGGTTGGATTTACGGCAGGCAAGGCTTGGGAGATCAATACGCTGATATGATCCATAGGAGTTTGCAAAAGGAGCTCGATTTGAACGATGGAGATCCCATCCAGTGGGCTACGAGGTGCTCTAAGCTGGCTTTCCTCTTTCTTTCGCAGGATAAATGGGACAACGCGCGATATCATTTGACAGCAGCACAGGGTGTGCTTGATCCTTTGGAAATTGGACTAATGCCTAGTCCGGCACTTTTCAAGGCACAGGCGGAATTGGCTAGAATTTGGGTAGGTTTTGTTGTAATTCAAAACTTTGCGGCGAAGTTTATCCCAGGTACTGAATATCCACTTTTTATTTATAAAGCCAGTTATCAGTTATCAAAATACCACAGGTCGTGAAATTCAAGTCTCGACAAAGAATATTCACTGATAAACCTCTCCTTCCTGAGATGCATCCAGGAACTCAATTTTAATGATACATTTGGCTCATTATTTGCAAATATTCTCAATAACTCGCAATTTTTTTTCCACATTCACATTTCCGAGTGAAGGACAGTGACAGACATTTTCCTGCAAAATTCCAGACCTATACGTGCGATTTTGACGAAATGAAAAATATTTGAAATTTCCGCCATTCGAAATATTAATTGCTTATATCCCGCCATGTTCTGGGCGGTTTCAGATTCAAAACTTCGCAAATGACCGTCTTGAAAAGATCTACAAGCCCTAAAATTTTGCTGAAGCTATGTACAAAGAAGAATACATTTTTTTTTCGTTATATCCCAACTTATTTTTTGTTTAAACAATGTTTCCAGTGATGATTTCATCTTCTATATAGGATATATATCAAAGCTTGAATCCTGCTATCACGTCTTTTGTTTTTGGATAGCACGCTTTGTTGTACGAGTCTTTCAAATATTTTTTCATGACCTATGGGCTTTCAAAGGCAGGATTGTATTGTCCTGAAAATTAAACTGCGATACAAAAACCTCGAGGGACCAAAAAACCTTAATTGGAAGGTCTAATGTTAATGTCGAACTCACAAATAATACTAGTGAAAGCGATGACAAATTCCTCCTCGTTTATCTTTGATGTTCAAAGATTTAGCAAGATTCAGTGATTCTAGCAGGGATTCTAGCCTAGCGCCTTAGCGGTTGTCATTTTTTAATGAATACGATTTTATTAGTATGTATTTTTGTTTGTTTGTAACTCTCAAGCTCGAGATCTGTATTTGACAGGTTTATCAACATTATTGCTTGATCTATTCCCGGGCAGATGGCGCTGTACGTAACCTTCTTGATATATCGACATTATTGCTTGATCTATTCGCGGGCAGATGGCGCTGTAATTATTATTATTAAACTATATTTATTTATTTGTAAGTGTTGAGTTTTGTTACATTCTGTAACTCTTGGGAGTGTTTTTCATAGTCTTGATAAAGTTGAAAGACCTCTTCAGTGGAAAGATATAACTGATATTGTTTGAATTCTACTTGACCTAAAATGCCCCTGGATCAGAGGCAAAAAAAATTCCAGTAAATACCTGTAACAAAAATAAATCTGTTTTTCCAGGTCAATTACGGATTGCAGATTTTCAGCGTCAGTAAAAAATCGTTTCTGGAGAATATATGGAACGAGTCCAAAGAAACACCCAAGTCAGATGAAGCATTGGTCGAGGAAGAAAAATTTAGGTTTTCCGGATTAGAGGTGAACCTACCACGGGTGCCTATAAAACAAATAGAGAAGATCGAAGACGCCAGAGAACTTTTCTCACATACACACAGATGGTTGAAAAGAGCACGCTTGTATTACACTCTTAGAGATTATCCTATGCAGTACGTTAATATTATCCTAGAACTGAGCGAGCTTTATCGGTATTTGGCTTTTTATGAGAAAGATTTGGATTCCCAATATGAAGTTCACAAGAAAAGGTATATTGGTTCAATTGAAATCGCCAGTAATGTTCCATAACTTTATGACTCGATACATGATGAAAATTAATATTACTGTCCGCACTATCCACGCAAATAATAACACTATTCACGTATATGGGTTCAACTGAAATCGTCCATACGATGTCTACTCATTGGAAACAATCGTGAATGAATTGACTGAAAGTATCATAGAAACTGTGGTAGTTTTCGGTGGGAACAAAACTGAAGAAACATGTATTGTCACGTTTTCTCTGTGGGCTTAATAATAATTGATTACACTGTAGTTAAACTAAATTCTATTCCACTGTTAATACAGCCAATAACTTCAACTATTATTCAAATATCTACCGGCTTATTAGGACGCTTTGTACCGCACTGTTCACTAAACTCTACTTCTCGGTTTTCCCCCCTCCCATGCCCCCTCCCGGGTTGAGTGCCCTGAGTTGAAATCTTCTCCACACGGTTACTGTGTGCAGAATATCTCATCTCGTCCATCCACCCCCGCTCCTCCGGAGCGGTCCTCAACGACTTACTGATGGGCACTTCAGCTAGATTGACATCTAACCTCTTTTAGTCGAAAGTCAACTTTTAAGTGCTTTTACTTTCTAATCTACTGTTTACTTTTATCTTGGCTTTCCTAACTGAATTTTTGCATGGTGTCCCCAAAAACTAACCGGAGACGAGTGTTTTTATGTCGTAGTGTATGTTCAGGTCTAGATCCCGGAATATGTAACTATTCGGTTCATATCTTGTAGCGTTTACGGCGGCCCTTACGCACCTTCTCGGTTGTCTGCACGTCGTCTTGATTTCAAACAGGTTGGAGCCTGGCTCCCTTACCCTTTGGACTGATGTTTGCCAGAAGGACAAACAGGTCATAACTGATGGTGAGTGTTGATGGTATGGCGGCATGAATGTCCTCAGACATCAGTACAGTCCTTCAAGGCAAACTACCCCTACCTGGCTGGGGTGGGTTGGATGAAGAAATTGTTCATCTTTTAACGGAGGACATAGAGGCCTCATTCGACAGAGTGTCGGGGCCTTCTATATCGGGAGGGGTCGTCTACAGTTTAATCCACAGCTCCCCTGACTAATTCTCGGTTGTCGATGTGAGTTGCGCTTATATATGGCAAACGAACTATCCCGAAACCAGTAGAGAATTCCTCAGAAGTCCATCGAAGCCGTTAGAACAGCCGCGAGCGCTTGTTGAGTTGAGCACGGCCTTGGTCAGGTCGCAATTGATTTTTATGACCAGCGGCGGCCTGCGTTATTTTTTTAGGGGATGATTCACAACACTATGATGGAGCTCAGGATCAAAATTCTAAGGCTATAAAATAGCCTCCAAACAGACCTTAGGATGATGACTGTTTAAAGAACAGCACTCAACACATTTTAAAACCATTATTTCAATTAGTCATTAGATGTTTTTTCCATAAGTACCAAAGAAATAGCATAGTAACTGCAGTTGCTAACAGATCCTGTAACAATTTTCAAATCTATTTATTCCTAAGACAACTCAATTCAAATAATAATTCAGTTCACCAACATTTGCAAATAGACAGTCCTCACATTCTCACAGCAATACCAGTTTGCTCTGAAAAAAACACAGTAAATTTTCTACATCCAAGCTATGCCCCCCATTTCAGAACCACACGTGTGAAGTACCTCAGGGCACAGTACTGGAACCCTTACTCTTCACCAACTATTTGAATGCTATTTTTTACAAGAAAAAGATGGTGAAGTAATCAGTTTTGCAGATGGCAGAGTAATAATTTATTCTGCAGATAACTGGAATTATTACTGGAAAATATACAACATGTTTTTTTATTTAAAGATCTAATCGTGCCAATTTCAGAACATAAATCCTATTTTTTCTCAAAATTTGACTAACCGACGGTCATCACGCTGTATCCCGTCAAGAACCAGTGAGTAGGCTTTAAAAATATTTTATCTCTAATCCAACAGGTACGAGACCCTGGAAACCCTCAGCGACATCTTGCGAGAGGTGCGTCCAAGCTGCTACACGTCCGTCAGCGTTGAAATTATCAGAGAGATAATGGAAGTCCAGATAGAACTAATGAACCTGAACCTTAAGAAACTCTATAATCCCGGAGGAGAAACACCTGCAAACGGAACGGATTTGCAGAAACGTATTGCAGCAGTTGCTCACATTAATGCAAAAATCGAGAGTTTGTGCAACGTTGATGATAGTTCTTCCAAGGCTACCGTGGAAGACAATATAGATATCGATAAAGGATTGGGTGAAGATACTGATGAGAGAAATGACAGAGATAATCCGAGAGGTGCAGTGAATCATAGTTCTGGGGAAGGAGAAGCAACAGTTCAAGAAAAACCCGTGTAACTTTTTTTAAATGTTTAATATCTGTTATATTATTATTTTCTGAGATATACTTCATTTACAATAATAGTAACTGTTATTAAAAGCAAATTTTTAAAGTGATATTTTTATACGAAGGTAAACGGCTTCGTTATTTAACGCGTTACGTTGCCAGTTTGTTGGCTTCTCTTTCTCTCACGCATACGTCAGCGAAAGGCAGACTCCTCCTCTCTCGTCGGATAAACGCTCAGTGTCTTGTCACAGAATAGTATACAATATGTGTGAGAGACGTATACTGTTGACAGTATTATAAAAATATAAACGAAGACGAAATATTCATTTATTATTTGAAACGTGGCTTGAAAATAATGATACTAATTTTGTGAATGTACAGTATTTGTATCATTATTTCATCCTACAAAAGTAAAAATTGCCTTATGGTAGTTATAACCACATAACATATATGTACATACACTAAATAATCAATAAAATATTTTATTAATGAATAACCTTTCCTTGCACCATCATATTGATATATAAAGTAAATATAGTAATAACCTAAGCTTTTCCCCAGTTAAACAAGTTCAACTTGGATTCGTTTAAGTTATCACTTCTGTCGGGCGTCCCGAGACGCACACATTATTTATTTTCTTTGGAATTCCGAGATGAACATATATTGATACCACGAATCCCTATTACACCTACAGATGTGCCAATTCATTTTGAACGTGTGAAATTTTCATTTAGATTGACATTTGCAGTGACTAGTAATAAGTCCTAAGGCTAAACAATGTCCGTTTGTGTCTTGAAAGCTATTGTATAGCGAAACCTAATGTATAGCGAAACCTATTGTATAGTCGAAACACGTGTCGCGACACGTGTTCCGCTATACAAACGCTTGAGAAAGCTATTGTGTAGCGAAAGCTATTGTATAGCGAAACACGTGTCGCGGTTGTAATCTATTTTTCATACCCCTAAGTGATAAGGGTGCTCCACTTCAAACATATAAAAAAATATTCTGCACAAAATTTTTTGTTTTCATTTTTTTATCATGGGGCAGTAGACAATACATAAACCCTAAATTTATACCCTTCTGTCACCAACCTTTATTCTTAATTCTCGTGTCACTATGTTAGTTGCCATACTCGGAAACGGCTTGAACGATCTTTATGTAATTCAGTATGTATATTCTGTAGATCTGAGAATAGGTGCTCCCCCCCGAACTTTTTTTTTAATTATTTGGACAAAATTGATTTGTTTTCATTTTTTATGATATGGAATTGAAAAATGCATTTTAACTTTCAATATTCACTCTTTTATCACCAACCCCTACTTTTTAACAGCCATTTTACATAATTCAATTATTTTAGATCAGTTTTCCCGCCAGGCATCTACCTGTGTCACTTCTCACTGTCTCTCTTACATAATAGGCCTTCTCTCACTCCCTACATTTTCGGCTACTATCATTGTTTATCCATCGAACGTATATACAGTTTGTGATGACAGAGAGTTTTTGAACTCATTGGATTTGCCAGGCATGCTACCGCATAATTTACAACTGAAGTTTGGATCGCTCCGTAATTTGAATCCACCACGGCTGTGCAACTGCAGACGATAAGTCATTAAAAGATTAATGAAAAACGTTGTCGAAGACAACGATAGACAACGAAGACAATGATAAGTTCCGAGGTGAAATATCAATACCACGAAACCCTATTATACCCACTAATATGCCATTTCATTTTGAATGTGTGCAATTTCCAATTAGATTGGTATTTTCAATGAATCTTAATGAGATCCAAGCCCAAATAATGTCAGTTTGTGGCTTGGATTTGAGCACACCATGTTTTTCACGCGGACAATTATACGTGGCATGCTCTCGAGTGGACAAACCATCCAGTTTGTTTGTGTTAGCTGAACTAAGACTAACGAAAAATACTGTCCACAATATAGCATTAAGGGATTGATATTATTTGTAAATGTTATTGTTCTGATAGAAATAATGTATGTGGGTTAGCCGTTGGCAGCGTTAGCTAGTAATACTATAACTTTTATTGATATTCGATTCTGCTGCAAAACCATTCATTCACTCCATATCCTTTCTTCTGAAATGTTCTTGTAGTAGAGTATAGTAGTAGAGTATTTAATAGTAGTAGAGAAATAACTGTTATTGCAAGAATTCCGGATTACTTGTAAGTAGTTTCTTTAGGTGATTCATCATTGTTGAATAGTGACAATTTACCAGGGTCAATTTTTTTTATTTGATACTAGTAAACACTGCCCCAGTCACGTATGATGAACCTTTATATTGCGACTATTTAAATTTTGATAGCACTCATTAAAATGTTTTCAAATGTAGAAAATACATTCGATATTTTATTCTTGTTACAATGAAATCGAAATATCTAGTCGACCATAAAATTTGGAACTGGATATGGTATTTGTTAAATCAGTGAAAAGATCATTCATGCAATAATCTCCTGCAATCTCCTATAATGATTCCAATTTCTCGGAAATATAATCTCCAAACATCGTAATCATCTATTCTAATACAACTTATCACTACAAGACTCCCTGAAATTCATCAAAAATACAAAATACATTCGCAAATGTGCGTTGCACGAGTACTCTGATTTATTCAATGACGAATTCATTTCTAATAGAACGCTTCAGTTGTCACATTTGAATGGTGGTGTATTATGGCATCGATGAGTTTGTTGACGCTGTCTACAATGTTGTTGGTTATGCCTTTGGTGATTCCTTCGATAACTCCAAGTATGATAGGGTACAGGATCGTCGTTACAAACTTTGAAATGATATCCAGAGCCCAGTCGATGATCCCTTGTCCATCGAATGTCAAATCGACAGAACTAAAAAAAAACATTTTTAGGTAAATTGCAATTGAAATTTATCAAATTAATAAACATTTCATTTGAAAAAAGAAACGAGTGTGTTTTAGACCACACATAGAAGTTTTACTTCAAAAAACAGTTCGCAGCAAAAAATTATTTTACGAACAACTACAGAGATACATCGTCATAAATGCGAAAATACGAAACTAATCTAGAAGGTCGCTATTAGCGATAGTGACAATTAAATTGGTATGACGCTGTAAGTTTCTGAATTTTCGAAATTGAATTAATACTAATTGTGTGTTGTTGTTCTGTTCTTAATTTGTTACTTCAATAAATCACTTGTTATTAAAATGGCATACACAAATGAGGAAATGGTTGATATGCATTACGTTTACGGTCTGTCGCAGAGGAATGGGTTAGAAGCTTCTAGAAGATATGTTGAAATGTATCCTCAACGGCAGCATCCTTCACATAGAATATTTGCTCGACTTCTTCAACGATTACGAGAATATGTTTCATTCTACAAAAGAACGCAGGATTGTGGTCGCCATAAAACTCCCAGTTTCAGTTAATCTTGCATGTAGCGTTCTAAATGTTTCAGCACATGGAATTACTCTGTTAAGATATCTGTCCTGGTAAATTCTCCGTGCTTCTTCCGCATTTCCATTTGTTTTAATCCATAAATAAAGTGCATGTCATCCATTTTAGCGTTAGTAAAATTATTCATGATGAAATCACTGCTAATTGATAACTCTGACTTTCACTGATATGACAACACTATCACTGTCAACTGGTATCCAAAGCAAGTGTTCATGACCTGTAAAGTGGCTTCATTTTTTTTTCGAAAACGAAGCTAGATATGAAGAAAACACAAGCGACAAGAAAGTTGTATTTTCATGAGAACATTTTTTCTTGAAACGATATAACGAATCATCCTTTGAAGTTACGCACCGTAGTTAGCAATCCTGTGAATGATATCTGATTCAATTCCATAACGAATGTTTTGAAAACAAACTGAATAAAGGAAAGTGTTTTTGTATAATTCAATGTTTATATAAAAGTAGCTGTTTCGAGAGGGCGTTTCTCCCAATAAATACTTCATTGCATGATCTAGACCTATAGTGTTGCTTTTTTTAAATCGATTGCTTTCTTTCTTTTTTGAAAGATTCCCACATTTTTTTGTATACAAATGGAGAAGTATAGCAAGCCAAAACTTTTCTTGCCCAAAAAACTGATATATTTCATTAATGAAAAATGAGAATTGAAACTTCATATGTTTTTCTACTACGAAGTAACGGCTGAATCCATCAATTTATATTTCATTCAGATACTTACCCACTATTGGTAGTTTTGACATCGTTTGCTTTGGCCGTGTATGTATTGAAGTCAAATTCCATATTTATTTTTATACTGAATTTTTCAATCTTTCCTGTCATACCTCCTTCGGGACCCACAAGAAGAAGGATTATGTGGTAGTGGTAGGTAAACTGAAAGTGAAATCAAAATATAAACTTTTTTTTCATAACCAGTTCTTGACGATAACTTTGAACATTTCCAACTCTATTGAAATTGTTTTTCGATGATGTTTTGATTCCCTATATACTGTGATATTGCGCAGAGACAATAGAAAATTTAGAGGTATACATGTTCAGATGAATAATATCACCAATATTTTCAAGGTTCTGTTAAACTCCGCGACTCGTTGAGATCATGATTAGGCTGATAAAACTCAATTTCAGGATTATGATATTCAATTTCTTTCTACAGATTTTGAACTGCAATATCTCAAACAAATAGCCTTTAGGTGAAGAAGAAAGGTGATATTTATCTATAATACCTAAAACATATTTAGTTTTAGTAATTTTCTGTTAGTATTTCGTGATATTGTTTTTTACGCCTTTATTTGAATAAAAAAAAAAGCTGTACATTTTTCAGATTTGTTTAAAAATTGATGGGACGCTAATGGGAAGACATTTTACCCCATGTTTGTCAAATTTTATTGCATCCACTTTCTTCAATTTCAACAAATAACATTGAATTACGATCAGCTTACTGAATTTTGGTGCTTGGGTCAAATAACAATTGGTATTGTTAATTAAGATGAAATCGTTATTCAGCACCCTTGAAAATCCTAGGAACTTGGGTGAATGAGTTGAAAACACGTCTCTCTCAACAGAGCATATATATTGTCTCAACGCGCGTTTCGCTAACCAAGTTAGCATCATTGATGTCTTAATTATCTCCTAATGATTCTGTCTTGATAACCATGATGTCCTAATCATCTCCTGATGATGCTACTTGGGAGGGACGGTATTTTGTGATTCTGTTGATAAAAAAATGTTTTTGAAAGATTCATTTCGCATGAGAGTTTCCAAATTCTACCCACCAAATAAATAAATAATCTCAAATCGCCAAGCTGTTTGTCATGAGAAGGAAAAGTCTCAGTTGAAATAATGGTTTATTATCTAGAATGCAAGGGGTGATTGTGAATTTCTGAATTTCATTTCTAATTCTACTCCTACACTGTAAAAACCAAAAGAATTTGGTCCAGTTGTGCTTCGAAGGTAATGCAGAATTCTTGAAATGGCTAGTTTTTCATGATTCTGGTGAAAAGTTTCCGAAGCAACACTCTACACACTTCTCCCAGCGATACACCCATCTTTGTAACCCCTCCAAATAGTACTCGGCGTTTTCCTCTGCAAAATAATTGTTCACGAACGGGATTACCTCTTCATTCGACGAACATCTATGTCCATCAAGTGCAATTTTTAGATGAGGAAACGAAAAAAGTCACTTGGGTCTAGATCTGGTGAGTGACGCGGATGGTCAAGCAGTTCAAACCGTTAACCGTGGATTTTCGCCATGGCAATCGGTGAGGTGTGAAATGGTGCGTTGTCTTGGTGAAATACAATTTTTTTTTGTGCAAATGTGGTCGTTTTTCCGCAAGTTCTGCTTCAGCTTGTCAAGTAATGATGCGTAGTACCTATACTCCTATAATGGTTTATCCTCTTTGGAGAAAATCGATTAATGCCATTTTTGGAGTCAGTTCTTCCTTTGTAGTACATTATTCAGACTGTATTTTTGTTTCTGACGAATAATGGTGTATCCAAGTTTCATCTACAGTAATCAATCGGCACCAAAACTCAGATTCATTGCACCTAAACTTCGCCAACAGAGCGTTGAAAGTGTTCATTCGAACATGCTTTTGCTCTAACGTGAGCAAACGCGGCACTCAATGCGCGGATAGCTTTCTCATGCCTAAATGTTGATTCAATATGTAACAAACACGTTTTCTTGACAAGTTCCTAACCTTCAATCTGGGGGGTCAGGAGGTACCCCGGGAACATTTTTGAAAAACATGGTACTAAAATGAAGGGTTTTGACCTGATTTTAACACTTTTCATAATCGAAAAAACTTTATATTTCAAAGAAATCCTCTTTAAAATTTTTCTTTCTTTTATGATGAAGCGAAGTATGTAATTGCGTTTTATCCAAATAAACATAAATAGGTATAGTGTTGTAGTTTCTCCAGAGCTTTAAACTCTTTCAAATAGAACAGTAAGGCTAGAGAAACAACAGTGTAGACTGTGTAGAGCAATAGTTAAAATATACTTATAACGTTTAACATTACATAAATGAAGTTAACAAAAGAATGCTCTAAGTTACAGCACTAATCTCCTATTTCCACTAGCGGCTGGCGTGCAAACTAAACTTACTGTAACAGTCCAGTCGAAATGCGGTCAGCTATACAAACACCGCCATTACACTACCCAAGCAGCCGAGCTCAAAGGTATCGTTTGATAATTTATGATTTAAACAAGAAAACAAACCAACAATGGTAGGTATGATAATTTCATGTTTGTAGACAAGAGTAATGATAACTCTACTTTCTGTAATTTCGGGGGGGTTCGGACCCCCCCTGAGTCACTGGTGTAACACCATTTCGTCAACTTTGGCGATGTTTTTGTCGGTAGTTGCAGTTTTTGGATTTCCCGACCGTCTCCCAAGCTCTTACGGTCACGTTTATATTCAGCTGCCCAAACCTTCACTGTGGTAAATGATTGTACAGAGTCCCCATTCACAGAATCCAACTCAACTTTGATTTGCGTAGGCGCAGGTTTTCGAAAACAAACATTTAATGACAGCTCGATACTCGATTTCGTCCATTATCATAAAAACACTCAATCAATTTACTGTTACATAACAACTGCACGTCCAAAATGGCTGAAACTTTGGTAAGTAACTGTCAAACAGGTGAAGTTCGAAATTCACTAGCTTTTATTTACGAGTGGTGCCATCTTCATGTTGAGGTTGGAAACTTTTCATACCACCACCACCATACTATTTATAGATTCATCACGTTATTTATTATACACTTTGCTTACCAAAATTTTGAAAATTTCAACTTCACACGTTCTAACCGAATGAAGTTGGTGCTCCCGGGATATTATCGTTTGATATTTTGTATACTTACGTTAAGGTTCGAGAATATAATAGGAAGTTCCATAGTCAACTTTTTCAGAGAATGCTGGTAGGATAATTTCACGTCATTGTATCTCTTGATGGTTGATATGCCGTTCAAATGCCCTTTGGATAAAGAGATCGATGATCCTAGAAACTGATTGAAAAATGAAATTAATTTTTTACTTTAGTTTAGAAAAACAAAAAGTCCAGTTTTTTCAAAACAAAGGGTTTTTTGGATGGACGAATTTCGCTGTATTTATAAATAATTGGTTACGTGAAATATTTCGGATAAATAAATGAATAGAGAGGATTTTTTCTAATATTCATACGTGTTTTCTTCAATATGATTAACATCAAATATCGTGATATTAGGTTAGGTTAGGTTAGGTCCAAAATGAGTGGGTCTGTTCGACCCTCCACCGCAACCCGCAAGGGTGTATTCTGGCTCACACCTATTCACACTAGACCAAATAAACCCAGCCTCTTAACGAAGACGCACACTATTCAATAGCGTAAATTTCCGCTTGAAATACAGTTGCATAGGTTCCTAGGCAGGTTGATATCTCTGTCCTAGATATGTGACTGAAAACACCTGCACCAGAACCGAAAGGTTCCAGTCTGTTGAACCAACAACTATCTACTCTCAATATTTCCTTCTCCCGGAGGATCCATTCCTCTCTACTCGGGAACAGTTCGTAGTTGACAGTTGGAGGCATAAAATCAGAGGTCATTTCAAGAATGCTGTGACTTCGAGTGTCAACCAACAGTCTGTTGCGCTCTGCATTGCATTGATTTGTGCAATTGGCAATGTGCACAAGTCTATATGCAGTCCATATAAACTCTCGCTCTAGAAAAATGTGGAGAGGAGGTAGATCTAGAAGGATCTCCATAGCCGCTGACGGTGTGATCGTGATATTACTAAAATGACTACTGAAAATTGAAATCATGACCAGTATATTTTACCCACATGCTCATTCATGTCCGGAAGTGGCACTGGGTCCAGTTCATGAGAAACTGCAAACTTTCCAATATCAACAAATAGTTTATCGGCATATTCATTACAGATTGCGATGATTTCACCATTATTGTTGGACCTGAAATAAACGAGTGAAAATTTTGCATTAACTTCAAACTCTCCCTTGGAAAATAAAATAATTTTTCTTTTATGCAGGACTTTTTTCAAGCTGATCCCGCATTGTTATGTCGGAAACGGTAACACCTACAAGGTCGGTGGATTGCACAAAAGTATCATATTCTGGGGAACTAGAATAATTCATTTTCCAATCGGGAATATCAGTGGTTGTTTGTCGAATATTCTTCAAAAACTGGAATTCCCCAATTTCGTTTTTCGGCTCTGCGGCCCCATTTCGAATGATATAAAAAAAGGGAGAAACTTTTAATACTGTTTCATATCTGGTATCTGTACTAATAAATGCAAAAGTCACTCACTTGACATAAGGTAGTAGATGCGCTCTAAGAAAGTATTTTCGAATATTCCAACTGGGGCTCTTCCGTGGAGGTAAAAGGGGGCGTTTAAATATGAATATTACCTTTTCATCACAGTTTCTCCATACCGCTATATTTTCGGAGGCTGAAATGTCGTATGTAGGTTCGTTTTGTGATGTAGATGTGCAATAAGAAAGAATTTTCAAATATTCCAAATGGGGATTCCTCACTGAGGATAAAATGGGCGCGTTCACATATGAAAACCACCTTTTCATGACTGGTAAATATGCAATAAGAAAGGATTTTCGAATATTCCAAGGAGGCGCCCCCCGTGGGAATAAAAGGAGCGCTTATACATATGAAAATTACCTTTTCATTATTGTTTCTCCATACTCCATATTTTCGAAGGCTGAAATTTCGTATGTTTTGTGATGTAGATGTGCAATAAGAAAGGATTTTTAAATATTCCAACTGGGGCTCCCCACTGGGGATAAAAGGGACGCGTTCACATATGAAAATCACCTTTTCATCACTGTTTCTCCGTTCCGCTATATTTTCGGAGATTGAAATTTTGTATGTATATTCGTTTCATGTTGTAGATGTGCAATAAGAAGGGATTTTCAAATATTTCAACTGGGTCGCCAGCCGCGGGAGAAAAAGTAACGTTAGTTAAATGAAGTTACCATTTCATCACTGTTTATCCATCCCGATAAATTTTTGGAGGCTGAAATATTGTATGTAGGATCGAGAAGGGATTTTCAAATATTTCAACTGGGTCGCCAGCCGCGGGAGAAAAAGTAACGTTAGTTAAATGAAGTTACCTTTTCATCACTGTTTATCCATCCCGATAAATTTTTGGAGGCTGAAATGTTGTATGTAGGATCGGTTTATGTTGTAGGTGTGCAATAAAACCGGATTTTTGAATATTTCAACTGGGGAGCCCCCATTGGGGATGAAAGGGGCGCGTTTACATATGAATATTACCTTTTTATCACTGTTTCTCCGTATCGCTATATATTTATGTATGTAGGTGAGTTTTATATCTTTGATGTGCCATAAGAAAGGTTTTTCGAATGTTCCAATCGAGGCACCAGCCGCGGAGGAAAAAGGCGCGTCCATAACACCAAATTATCTTTTCATCACTGTTTATCTGTGCCCTTAAATTTCCGGTGGGTGAATTTATATTTGCTATCAGCATTGCACCCGTGCAGAGGGCGGGTCGCTAGTCTAACATAATGCAATGCGTTTCGTTCATTAGATCTCATCATCAATTTTATTTTTATAAATAATGACCTGCATTGTATTACATAGCTGAATTTGTTATCACAATGGCTACAAAAATCGATGAAAAAACTAGAGCACAGTAGAGCAGTAGAGAAGTGGTAGAGTAAAAAAACTAAATTGGACCATTCCAGCTTTTGGCAAATATTTCAAAAATAACCAGTGAAGAAAACGATAATATAAACACAATTCTATTCCAAAAGCTGAATTTTATGATTCACGTGAAATAGAAGCTCGGATTTCTGTTCATTTTAATCGGTTGAATAGGATTATTGTTTTTTCTTGCCAAAAAATATGCATGGTACTTACTTCAATTTTTCTTCGAATTCGTTTAAAAATGTGTCTGCCAGATCTCTGTCCAACTGAATTTCCAAACCATTTTCCTGGAACTCAGCAGCAAATGAAAATGTGAAAAACGCTGCAAGAATCACAAACTTCTTCATCTTTATCAATGTAATTTCTTCTGCAAACATGAGAAGTTTTGAAATCACTTCCATTTTATATTGGCAATCAGTAGACACATTTCAAGTACTCACTGATAGTCAAATTTGGAGACTTTTGCGGCAACCAAATCGTGTGTAAATATTTGCTTCACGTTGTTTTCAACTTCCACAGTATCTATGTGGAAGGTTGACAAATTCGTTTACAGTATGTTTTATTAAAACTTGTCTATTCCAAGATCTTGGAAATTCAATAAAATCACTTCAGAGTTTTAATGTATTCAAAACTGCACTTAAGTTTTCTGACTCCACCATATTAAAAAATCTGGCCTGTTATCGTCAATCAAAAATGTGTACTGAATGAACTGGAATGATATGTGAATACGTTAGACAAATTTTGAAGGGGAATCAAATAATTTCGATGATTGTGATAGTTTACAGGCCAGTCAAGGGTTTATTCTGCTCTTTCTGAAAAGTTCCAGACTGGGTTGAAGCTATTTACCAATATTTTGGCAGTGGTCTGGAAGTTTTCAAATCTGACTTTCCATCTACAACATACCCAGCGTTGTAGTTGCATCCAAGGGACATACTACATTGTTCAGACTTTAAATCGATTACTTATTCTTTTCAGATGAAATAGTCTCTGTATTTCCTGTGGGTTGGGCTACTTATTGGGCGCGTACTCAGGTGGCGGATAGGGGAACGGCCAGGGGATTGGAAGCCCTGTCCGGGAAGCCAATGTGGCCTTACGGACGGGGTCGCCGGACTCCTAGTCAGTGGCAGAAATAAATAGGGAGAGGGGAACTATAACCCCCCCAAAAGCCTTTGCTAAACATGCCACCGTGGACCAGCTCACCCAAGCTAAGGTTTAAGGATTTGTGCTGACAGCTGAATGGCTGCAGGGTGATATGCGGCCACGAACGATCCCCTTGGGAACTAGGCGAAACCTCGTTGTGATCATCAGCCTGCCTCGGGTAATGCGAGGCTCTGCCAGAGGTAACCAATCCTTCCCTTGCTACTCGTGAGAACACACATGAATGAAACAACACAAAAACACATTCCAACAGCAAGGGCACTGCCTGCGGCGGGTGCCAAGAGCTCCGCCTTAAAACAAGGCAAAGAACCGGCTGCTCCTGCAGGAAAGCTCCTCACATGTGCACCTCCACGGAGGGAACCCCAAGAAGGTTGAAGAAGCCGCGCAATGACAGTAATATCGCTGCACCTTTCGAAACTTTCGCGGAGGCCACCGTGAGACACCTCAAGGTTGCCAAAGAGAGTGTGTGTTCTGCGAGTTTTGGCCTACACCTGCCAATATAAAGAAAAAGGAGGTGTCTCCTAGTGACCTGTTCATCTTCCTGGAAAGGACAGGACGGACCATGACCTAGGAGGACAACTCCTCGGGAGGATGTACAATGGATCACATGTGACCTAAGTGCTGTGAGTCTCTACTCACCCTTCCTACTCTACAGATACAGATACAGTATCTGTATTTTTCAATTTTTATCGCCTCCCTCCCTATATTAACGGCTGATTAACGGAAAAACAGATTTTTTTCAAACAGATTATCCTGGATGTAAGCTCAGAGTTATATCAAACTCTTAGATCTGTAAGTGCTATCTATGAATGCATGATCGGATATTGTACTTCTTTTCGTGTGATTTCTTCTCTTCTAAATTGACACCGAAATTTTAGTACTAAACTAACTCAACCAATCTAACCGCCAGTCACCAGTATGTCAGACAAAACGCTTGAATGTAAGCTTCATGCATTGCAATCAGATCCAGAACCCAGAGGTATTATTGAGAATAAACGTTACCCTAAGAAGTAATATTAGTAATAATAAATTGTGTTTACTATGAACTGTTACGTATTGGTTCACTACAAGAAAAACACTACACTGGTTTCAGTGAGTTAGGAGACCTCTCCAAATCCAGACCCCCCTCAAAAATATTCCTCAACTGTCCCAAATTTTGGTATTCTTTTGTCCGAAAAAAATAACACCAATGCTAGGACTCATGAAACCTGGTCTCCTGATATACTGGCCAGAGAAAAGATAACTCCTTCCTCCTCCCCAGGATCAGAATTCTCCTTTGTGAGCTATTATTGGAGATTTCTTCATTTCCTCGCTTATTTGGCTAAGAACGTTCTACTGTTTTCTTCTCTTTCCGTTTTGCGACGATTTTCCGTCAATTACTAGCACGCTCTCGGGACTTCTAACAAGTAACATTTTGATTTCCCCTCTCTTTCATTGTGGCTGATGGTTGAGGTTTTTATTTAGGTATCTATCTGTATTTTGATAAGAAGAATTTGGAATCTTTGGTTTGAAATGTTTCTATTGGAAACATTTCATTTCTATTGGAAACATTTCTCCCTCACCAAAACAATAATGCTTTTTTTTGACGCGCGTTTCGTTAACAAATTTAGTACCATCAGGAGATGACTAAAACTGGATCTATTTGTATGTACACTGTTCTCCAATATCAAAAAGATATCGCCCATCGTGAAAGTTCACATTTATTGTTCAGCCTCAGATGCTTGTAAAGTACCTTTACTGATATTCTAGAGCAAGCTGAATATTTTCCAGATGAGTATTAGGATATTTTCCAAAAGAGGTTCAATATTTTTCTCAAGATTTTAGAATAGACTACTGGATGAGAAATCTCTTTCTGCCCCTTTGCAACTTCCTGTAAGCAGGCCACTTTCCCTCACACCACTTCTATCATTTTTTTGATAATTTTTTTATGAAAACTTAGTTGTGAAACTCGAGAAGAGTGTTACAGTTCTGGTAAGTGTGAGAAGTATTTTTTATTGGCCAAAATAATCAAAGAGTACTTTCAAATTCACTTCAACAACTTAAATAACGGATCATAAACTATTGAATTTCATCAACCTGAAAATAAACTGCTTTAAAAATCTCAAAACCATGGATTAGTTCGAAATTCGAAAGTTCTGGAACCGAACGAGGAAATATTTCTTTAAGTGTTTCAGCAAGGCTATATTATTAGAGGGTATTTTTCATCTACTGGTAATAAACGAATTTTCAAAAAGATTCGTGATCTGTGATTGATACAACTGACATTGACCTGAAAAACAGCTTCTCTTGTATGTCTTATCACCTTATCTATGTTTGCTGTTTCAGAGAATTGAAACCGACAAGATACATTCCGATGCATTTGCATATCAAGTCCTTGTAGCATGAAAACGATTTGTTTCATCACTTTAAGTGTGGAAGAATATAATAAATTGATAACCAATCAGTGTACTATAATGATGAACATGTTTTTCGGAGATTCGGCTGTGACTTCGAAGCCGCTTTCAAGAAAATATGGCTACACTGCGGTTCCAATCTATCAGGTAGTGACGCCGGAGTCTTAGTCGTCACTTGGGAGCAGACAGATGGAGATCCAGTGACGAGACCTTGGTTGGTAGGCAGATTGAGACCTCAGCGTAGAGTCACAAAACCATTGAAGCATGTCCCTACCTCAAAATAGGCATACTTTTCCAAAAAAAGGTTCAAAGTTTGGTACACCTTAAAAAGCAGGAGCAGGGTCTGTGGTTTGCCCTTTTCTTGAATGGCCCGATAAATTATCTCCCGTATTTATATCAAGACACTCGACACTGTATGATTTCCTGGACCCGGATGTCACACAGGTTGCTAAAGAATCGACGTTTTGTCACTATCTCAGCGGGGATTTTGGCGGAAAGAAACTTTCTATGAGAACAACAGAAGTCTTAAACCACGAGTATAATATTACGTATCGAAGTTGAACAAGAGTCCCAAAGGCCTCGTAACAAATTTTGTCCTTGTTAAGGTCTAAAGAATTGAAATAGTGCATTCGTTACCCATTACCGTTAAAACAATACTCTCTGGATTTGAATCCTGAATACAACGCTTTTCGGATCTGGCGTCATCTCTCTGGCTTTCACTGAAAGCTACAGAGAGACCGAAAGCGATTTTACATTTGATCGATGTCGATAAATCGTCTTCAGAACCATGTTTATGTTCAATAAGTACTATTTGTATTTACTGTTGATTTCATAAATGCCGTCTTCTCACTGAGATTGAGAACAACAAGAAAAATTCGTAATTTGATGACTATGATAGAAGAATAGAAAATAGCCCCCATTTTCTCACAAATCACATGAAAAGAAAAACCTGAAGTTTACGAATACAAGAGGAGGAAAATAATCAAATAATTTGAAAACATTGCATACATGTGATTTGCATGATCCTACAAGGAACCTATAGAAAGCGTAAAACAATATTTCTGTTTTAGACTTTTGGAAAGTACTACAGAAAATCTTCAACAATCATACTTCATACTCTCATAAAAATGAATCATTGATATGGATTGATGAGCGAACTAGAAAGTAAATTATTAAAACCGTTAGGGTTGATAAAGGCAGTACCTATCTATCGTGGATATATCAGCAATGCAGAGAATTAAGTCTACGACGACATAGGCGTTTTTGTTCTGTGCTCCATAACATTTCAGAAAACAGTCAAAATCAATTTTCTAGGATTGTGAAAGTTCTAGACATACGTTTCGACAATATTGATGTCAATCTTTACAGTTATTTCCCAAAGTCGTTCAAATAACTGATTAGCACTGATATAGCGGTATACAGTGCGTGTGGATATGGTTGATGTTGATAAGTAATATAATATGGAGACTTTCAAATCCATGAGGCCATGTAACAAAGACGACATCGAAGCCGAATCGTAGGTTTGAGGTCAGATATGTCAATGGTTCTGGTTTCAAAGCATTCAATGGAAAGGTTTCCAATGACTGAAGAGAGTGGGGAACTTATGGGAGCACCCTTCAGATCATCACACTTTATTGTGAGATTTCCACTGGACAGTTTACAAAATCGCAACAACCGTTTTCGTCAAGTATTAATCAATTCCATGACAAACATGTATCTATCAACAACACTTGGAACAGATCCACGAGGACAACTGATGAGCAGATTTCAAAAACCTACATTACTGAAAGGTTAATTAACTTTTGGGATTTTCAAGTTTTGAAAGAATTTATGGCATATGGTAAAATACCTCGTAATTCCGGTGTGAAATCTACCAAATCGCAATGAGAATTGAGGTTGCGTTGCTGAAAGCTGATGTGATGACTGATCTAGAATGAGAATGTTCCAACAGTAACGAAGTCGAGGGAGATGAGCTGTTCCAAAGAATCAATATCGGAGAAAAAATTGCACTAAATGCAAGAATTGATACAGACTCGCTCACAGTATCTGAAATAAGTCAATCATCGCGAAAAGGAGAATAATACTATCTCAAAAATAAGCCAGATGATTCAAAACCTCCATTCGAATAATAGTTTCTGTTTTCAAACATATAATATTCGACTATATAACTATTCTATCATTTGACATTTACGTCGTTTAGGTGCGAAAACATAATCAGGTATATACATTCTTCTTTCGAAAGATAATATTTTCTTATAAACCCTATTGACCTCTAAGTGTTTAATGACTGTGTAAAATTGTCTCGAAGTTTTTATGTTGAATTTGTCGATGATAAACTCCCGAGATTTATTTCTCGAAATCTTCAGCAAAGACGGAACTCTCGGCAAGTGGAGTATCTTAAAAGTAACGTAGTCGTCTTTGTTCAGATCCAAATACCCCGTCATCAGTTTAGGGTAAATGCAGTAATCTAAAACCTGGTAGATGGCGTTGTGTAAGTATTCGATGTCAATCATTTCAACAAGCTGATCCAGAAGAACGTCCATCTTATGCTGTACGTCGTAGATCAGTCTAGAGGTGTCTGGAGGTCTTCTACCAATGAATTTTATATCCATGTGGAGCATGATTTTGAAGAGCTCGCAGTAGCCGTAGTGAAGGAAAACTTTACTCATATCAAAACTGGTAACGATGTAGCCATACATAAGTAATCGACACGTTAGCTTAGTTAGTTGGTCGATAGACAACTGATGAAAAAAATCGCAAAACCTAACGATAACCATGTAAAAATCCTCTGCTGTGCTTATGGAGTCTACAACTTGAGCTAGATTATCACTTTCAATTATTATATCGACATACTGCTTGAAGAATTCTTTCCTCAAGGTCCCACATATCCTCCACAAGATGCTTCCAAGAGACATGTCGTCTCCATCATATTTCAACCTATTCCACACCAGCTTAAAGTTTTTCGCGTTGGGAAATTGCAGGCACAACGAGAAAGCGTCTACCAGGTCGTAGCCGTAAGCGTAGTTCACGTCTGCTCCTCCTTCGATGATTTCCTCCACGAATGGTGATGAGTTTCGTATCGCCAAAGCCAAGGTGCTAGTATGGTCGTAAGTTTCGATGTTGAAATCGTCAACGTAGTCAAGCAACACGGTCTGTAATTCCACGTTCTTAGTGACGATGGCCTTCATGAAAGGAGTGAGGTTGTTGACTCCTCTCACATTGGCGTCTGCGTTGTAGTACAGTAACATGCAGACCGTTTCCAGGTTCTCTTCTGCTATGGCATCACTCAAAGGAGTATCTCCGCTGTAGTCTCTAGCGTCCAAGTGGGCTCCATTGAGGATGAGTTGGTGAGCTACCTCGGGAAATGTAACGGCAAGGTGAAGCGGAGTTACGTCTTCATAGTTTTGGAGGTTGACATTAGCGCCAAAACGAATAAGAGTTTTTGCGATATCGATATTGTCCAGTTTCAGGGAGAGAAATAATGGAGTTTCGCCGTTGAAGTTTTGAACGTTGACGTCTATGGTTGGCTGGGACAGCAGGTAGTCGAGGATCTCCGTGCTGAAACAAATGTGCAACGATCCATGACAAGCTCACTCAAAAACTGAAAAAAACTTCTTTTCCAGAGGTAACTTTACTAACTTTCAAAGTAATACTACGGTCCTACCTCATTGGCTTTAGAAGTTTCATCAATTTCATGTACAATATGAGGATTCAGTGAATTCTTCACTTGACGAAACGAAAAAAACATTGACAAATTTTGTTAAAGAATAAAATTTTCATAGGTTCAACTTAGTCATTATCGATGGTTTGATTTTTTGTCATAATTAGTGAATAGGTAATTTGATTTGTCTCAGCAGATATGAATTGATTGGTGTACAAAAATAAGTTTATCCTGTAATTGAATATTTTGATCAGATATCCAAAGATTTCACCCTGAAAACTGATATGAATATGGGATGGAAGGAAAACTGCAGAGAATATACTACATGTGGAAAATTACTCTAGCAAGGAGTTGGGAGCTAATTAAACTGAATGACCGAAGAAAACTATTTTTTGTGTGTAATTGTTCGGCAAGCCTTGTGGAACAAAAACTTTCGGCATGATAATAATAATAGTGATAATAATGACAATAGTAATAATTATCATAATTATTATGTATTGTTTTTGGAAAATTACATCTCATAGCAAAAGTAAAAGCCAAACGAAAAAAGTGATTCTGCTCTTTTTTGGTTTACACATATATTTACATGCAGAGGTAATGACGGTATGAACAGAATGAGTGAAATGTGACACATGGTAATTTTGGAAATCGGGAATATTTTCTATGTGATTCTTTTAGAATCGATATGGAAACTATAACTTTCATTTGTGAGAATAATATATGTAGTCAAATTTCCTTCACTTTATATATTTTGTTCATTTGTGTTTCATGAATGTTACTTATCTGGCCTGATATCAATCAAAGTGTTCCAACAAAACACAATATGAAAACAAGATAAAAGTCTATATTTATAGGCGCCTTACATTATTTATAAAAACTTATTTTCCCAGTCTGCAACTTACTTATTTTTCAATACGGATACATGTAAGGGTGTGTTGCCACTACTGTCGTTCACATTTACCGATTTTCCCAATCTAACAAAGTGCCTTACTTTTCGAAAATCTTGTTCGACTACCGCTCTTAACACCCCGTAAACCAGTAATGGATTCTCAGTTATTTCCACGCCGTAATTTGAATACTGCTTGTCCTAAAAAAAACAATTTCGCACATTTATATATTTTTTTATTTGAAGCTTCCACGTACCACTTCAAGAAATAATTCTTCGTCGAATTTGTTTCTAGATGAAGCCATTTCATGTTTATTTTGCACTGCAGTCAATTCTATTTTGGGATAGCCTTATATGTGAGAGAGAAACCGTTCTATTAATGTTTTCAGTTTCGGTTTTGGTTGCCAAAATAACATATATTTTTTTCTCATTCAATGTGGTCATTATTCCGTAAGTGAGACACAAGAAACGCATGAATAAATGGAAAAACAAATTTTTCCCAGAGACAAATCAATCCCATCACAAGTTTTCCACTTCCTGTCTCTTGTCAAGGCAAGACCGCGTCCAGGTTAAAATATGTGCTACTACCTGTATGGGAGAAAAACTTCTCCAATTAGGCTCAAGCTTCGACTCAAGTACAGGAGTAGGTAATTTTCAGGGGTAATAATTTATATAAAAGTATGTGCGTATATTCATGATAATACTCATTTGCAATACTCTTTTCGACGCACGTTCCACCAACCAAGTTGGCATCTTTAGGAGATCGAGTACATCAATTCCTAACTTTAAAACTGGTCTCAATTTATATCTAACACACATTAATGATTTCTGCTAGAAAAAAAAGATAGATTATCCCATGATAGAAAGAGAACGATATTTCATATCTGCGAAAGCAGCCAAAGGCAATAAGAGAACTGATAATTTATTTGAGGACGTGAGGAAGTGAAAAACACTTTCACGATATGTCAAAATCTGATTGCACCGAGTTTGAACAGGTGTCTAAAGGTTTATTATCCTGTAGTTCTTAAAATATAAAAATTCACAAATCTGGCAAGTCGGTGCGACCAATTGTCTCCGCCATAAGTTCCTCTACTTGTAATATTGCTACATGTCTAACCGAACAATTTGAATCTCTCAATCAGACAATTGAGTTTTGTTTCGTTATTTCACGTAAATTCATAAATAAAATTAGAGATGTAAAGTTGCGAGATGGAGATATTTTAGTATAATTTGATGTATCCTCGTTATTTCCAAGTATCCCTATACCAAAAACTATTGAGTAATCGAGGAATCTTCTCCAGATCAATGATTTCAGTTGAAATCAAAAATATTATAACTATTTGTTTAAATTGGTCTGTCACGAGACAGCTAGTTATCATATCATATCATATCATAGGTGAAAACCTGAGCTTTTCAAAAGTTGAACAGTTTCAATATTAAATAGTTCAACTTAGATTCGTTTAAGTTATCACTTTTTTCGGGCGTCCAGAGACGCACACGTCGGTTGCCTTCGACTTATACAATGCGAGCGACGAGTAATTCAAGAATAGGTCTCCAAGAGAAGGTATACTGTGTTCGGGATACATAATTTTCATGGAATCGAACAAATAATCTCATCATGATTGTCTCAATATCGATAATATATATTGCTTGCCTTATTTTGCGTTATTTGAAAATTTTCAAAAATCTCTCAATTTTATAGAACAATTTAGAGGTTACTCGACCTAATCAATAAAATTGTTACGATAATCTTATCTACACAGAAGGTAATAGGTAGTCAATATTTCTTATCTGGAGGACATCGGTTTTTACTCAAGATTAATTACTAATTCTGTCACTCTTATCTGGACAAGAGGCCTATAGTCAATATAATTGTTACTTGAAAGACATGTATTTTCACTTAAGATTAATTTTCGAATCAAAAGAATTGAATTTCTTCATAACAATCAACACGACAAATTCTCAGTTATACTATGTTGAGATGGAAACAGTATATTCAAATTCCATTTGAATTCATTCCAATATAAATTGTTCAATTTTTTATATAAAACTATTGTGGCAACTTGGCCTCCTCATAAATAAATTCGACGTGTTTTTAAATTTTTGTGAAAGGTTCTTAATCTGGTAATTAGGTATGCCTAACACGTTTTATATGGCCCACTTCGAAATCGTGATGAAATTTGATCTGATGTTATATGTTTCTTGAAACTGATTGGTATTTTTCGATATAATTCATAACCAATTTATATTTTTCTCCTCTAGTAAATGAATCCTAAAAGTGAATTCCATTTGTATCTGATTTGTTATTTTAGGAGTTTCCATTAATTTTTGAAGTCCTGTACTTCAAATAAGTGCTGAAGAAAACTCCCTTTACGAAGATTCCATCTAAGTATAAGTTCCACAGAAAATCCAAATCACTAAATATGATTTCTAATAGAAATCAATTGCCTAGACAAACTTCGAAGTTCAAAAGTGGAATTTGACAAAATTCCTAGTCCAAATCGATATTCATAAAAATTTGATTTTGACATGAAATTAAGTTTCTCGACAAATCTATCAAATCTATCATTTATTTAAAACATAAATATATTAACGAATAAATCAGCATAGCTAAATACGCAAACGCATTTACAGAAATCAGCAGGAAACATGGAACAGAGCTTAGAAAATTCGGCTACATGAAAAATATAATAATTCGGTAACCTCACACACAAATATTATAATGAAATAATAATGAGACAGTATATTTTTTGGGGACCATTACGGATTGGGCGACGACATCTAGGTAGGTATCATACTTCGACTGTTAGCCATAAGGACTACATACTGATTATTGCTGTGAGGAACGCAGTAGTAAACATTTCCACTGGAATGTGTAATTTTCACATTAAAGTGTATTTTTCAATACGTCATGATGGATTCTCATCAAATATCGGCCAGTTCTATCATATATTTAAATATACGTTTCAATTGTGATATTCTTTCACAGAAATTAGAAAGAAAACTCTTTATAATTATGGATTAATCCAATAGATATTGTTTTGTAGCCAATAAAAATCCGTTATAAAATCAGTAAATCAATCACGAAATTTATGTGGTTACTCTTCAACAGAGATGATTTTGTTCCCAGGTCATGAAATATTGCATTGAATGAGATTGTATGTCAAGCTTATTGTAATGATTAATTGCATAAATAAAACTGATATGTTGTACAATCGCACAAACCATTTATCCACTTGATTCGTTGGGAACGCCTGAGTTAATTACAGTTTTAATCTTCCTCTTTGAAGATGATCACTTGGTGATAAAAATAACGATTTGGTGTTGGGAAAAAACTCCAGTAATATTAATTACATTTCGTGACAAGTGGTTTGTAAAACTTAGTTTTTCTCTATCTTATACAAATATCAGATGATCCACTCTAAAACTGCTTTGGCTTCCACTTTCGATCCAGCATGTATCAATTAGTCCAATCAAAACCTTGGCGCGTTTCTATTGGTTGATGTAATCCGTCAGAAATTTTCTGTTGAATTTGAGAACGCGCCTATTCTATCTGTCTTACAGATGTAAGACGGATTTGGGTTCGATATCTGAATGGTCTTCGAAGAGTCAAAAGCAATCACCCATTTGAGGCTTAGAAAGTTTTGCGCGAGTCCGCTATATTTTGAACCGTCATACTACGAACCGAATCAATGAATCTTGACAAATTAGTCCTAGAAGCCATTGCCACAAGCCAACCTTGACAGAAGAGATTCAGAAGAAGAAGTAACCTTTGATTTTCAAAACTAATATTATTTTTGATGTAGACATTTGGTATTTTTTACAATTAATAATCAATATTTCTTCTGTTTTTTTGCCTTTAGTACCTGTATCATTATTTGGGGAAAGAATGAATGACATTGGGAAATTGCTAATGAAATTGAAAAATTGTGCGGAATAGCAACTTTACTTCTAGGGTATTGGAATCAAATTTAGAGAAATTTCACTATTACCCATGTTCAGTAGAAAGGACCAATTGCTAAAGAAAACAGGAGAAAGCGGAATTGGTAGATACGATTTTTTAAGGCAGCTTATTCACGAATTTACGACCACGACTTCATATGGTTAGTTCATTTGAAATATTTTAAAAATTTTGGATATAATTTATATTTTCAGAGTGTAAGAAGCAGACTTTGTCAAATTTAGCTAATTTTGCTTATGATCCCATTAATTACGAGTACATAAAGCAGCTTCATTTGATCGATTTATTCCTGAGTGAACTTTCAAATGATAACGAAGAGCTCATCCATTTTGCTCTTGGTGGTCTGTGTAATATTGTTTGTGGTAAGCATTCTATACTTTTAAAGTTCCCAATAGTTCATAGCCAGATGCATACCTGAATTAGTGTCTATTAATGCCCTAGGCCACACTTGATAATATATATGACTTTGTGGATAGGCCCAGCACATGACAGGGAGCAAAGAGTATAGAACTAAATTTTGGTTTTTCAAAACAACAAAACCCAATACACAACATAATAGACTGTTTAGTTGCATCAATCAATTTCAAATTTAGAATACATTCACTATCAAGTGATACATCTAAAGCTATTCTGTCAATTATCATTATGATGTTACTCATACAAAATGAAAAAATAATGCCACCTCATAATTCCATGGTGGAACAGTGGAGGGTGGAGGGTGCCCCTGCTGGTGTTGGCAGGTAGCTCTCCTTTCAATAGAGCTTCATTCCAGCCTTTGTCTTAAACGTCTCACCTTCTGGCAAAGCCTACGCAAGAGTTGAGTGGAAGTATCTATGCTTTCTCATACTCAGGATAATTTTTCAAGGACAGCTGAGTAAAACAATGTTTTTGTGGTTCAACCTAACACCACTGATGAATCTAGTGTTGAATGATGAAAATTTTATTATTGGGCTCTGGTGAAGGCTGCAAATGAAGAGAGAAAGCGATTTCTCAATCGCCAGATGTTGAACCGTGGTTTTCCAACAGTATGCTGGAGACACTTTTTGTTACTGATCATTTCATGTGTTCTTAATGTGTTTGAATGATCGATTGATTTGATTAAGCTGTTTATTTTTTCACACATTTTTCCTCATCCCATTCTATGCCCTAGGCTATGACTATATCTTATATTATATCTTATTTTTGTAGACCCGGAAAGTCGAGAGTATATAATATCACTCAATGGTGTGAAATTGATATCTTCGTATCTTCTCCATAAAAATGAAGAAATATCTCTGAATGCCCTCACTACGTTATTTTATATTTTTGAATCAGAGAATACAGTTTTACCTCAGGATTTGGAACACACAATCATCCAGTACGAAGGACACCCTAGTCAACGTATGAAGAATTTGGGAAAAGTGTTCTTACAGACTTATTTCATGAAAAAATGAATATTGCTAGGATATTAGTAAGAAATTTATGCAATGTGGGTTTAACATTGAAAAAATTTGAACCTGGAGATCAAGTAAGAATTGAAAGGACAATAACCAGAGAAGATGTCGATGCTTTCTCACATCTCAGTGGGGATACAAATCCAATCCACATGAAGGGTTTTAAGGAGTCAGCGATTGTACATGGAGCTTTTTTGAATTCACTTGTCTCTGGTGTTATTGGTACACAGTTACCTGGTCCCGGAACAATAGTGGTTCAACAAACAATGAGTTTTCCGAATAAATGTTTTGTGGGTGAAACTGTAATGATTACCGTTAAGTTAATTGAAAATAGGAAAATAATGAGAGTTGATTTTAGTTGTGATGTTGAAAATAAGGAGAAAACTGTTCTTTGTGGCAGTGCCAAGTTAATTGCAAGTAAATGAATCTTCAGAAAACTCAGAATTCAATTTTTTTTCTTTGATTATAATCATACCATTCCCATAATTGTATTGACGAAAAACATCTCAAAATTCTTTTTCGAAATTCAAGATCGATCAAAAATAAAATGGATGACTTGGAAGTCATAATCAATAAATTGAAGGTAGATATTGTTATCATATCAGAAACTTGGCTGACCAGAGAAGAAGAAGAGTTCTATAATTTTCAAGGATTTTCATCAGTATTCTCTAGTGGAAAGCGAAGAGGGGGTGGTGTAGGCATTTTCATGAAGAAAAAATTTGAATTTCAAGTTGAAAAAAAAGAAGAAGATGTACTGGAATTCATTGCTTTGAAAATCAAGTCACTCAACTGTATTTTATGTGGTATATATTGTTCACCTTAGGTGAATCATCAACATTTCTTGAATTTCAAGGATGAAACACTTGAAAGTTTTAATCATTACAAATGTGATATTTTCTTTTTTGGGGATATGAATGTGAATATTTTATCTGCTGATGGTAACAAAAATCGATTATTGGATATCTATAAATCCAATAATGTATTTCTAGTCAATGATAACATTCCTACTAGAGAAACAAATAGAAGCTCCACACTCATTGATCATTTCATCAGAAATTCAGAAAAAGAGATACATCTCTCTATTTCAAATATTTCACTGAGTGATCATAAAACTCATGTCTCCTGTATAAATACGCAACATAAATTCGATGAATCTCCTACCGATTTTATTAAAATTAGAACATTAAACTATCAAATTCTCAAACAAAAATTGCCAAAACTTGAGAATACAATCCACCTCCATCCAAATCTTGATGATGCTTATGAACAGCTAATAGATACTTTTGATGTTCTTCTAGGTACTTCAAATAATTCGATTTTACTTGAATATATTATATGGATTTTCATGAAATATCAGACATTTCCATCACATAACAGGTGACATATTGAAAGGTAAGGTTGGTTGCATTACAGTAGTATGCAGAATATGGAAATGCATAATTTGCTTTGAAAGGCATTTGAAGGTACTTTTCGTCATAAAGTTGTGTGTTGATTCATTACATATGTTAGGAATCACACGTTGAAAGGTAAGACCTCGTTAGTCCTTAGCTCGCACAGGTTTCAATTTTTAGTTTTCATTCGTAGGGAGGTGACAGCTGGTTAACGGAAAAACAGATTTTAAACAGATGTAGTTTTCTGACACATAGTTACTTGCTCTTTATATATTCAATATTTTTTAATACATATCATACTTTCAAATGACTAGGTTATATTCAAGGACTGATAATTCAATGAGTTGAACACTTTGATACTCCACTATTGAATTGAGTCGGTTACTCCAATGAAGAAATGAAAGTTGAAAACTATTTCAGAATCATTTTATTTTCTTTCCTGCTACATATACATTCAGAATATTTCTATCATCTCCAGTGTAAATGAATTTTTGTAACAATTCCAAAGGAGAGCAATCGATCAGGTAGTCAGTACAATCAGGAACATTCAAATCGATGATCAAGGCATCGAATTGCTTACCAGCTTGAAAATTGCCAATTAGTCTATCTAGAGATAGCGCTAAAAATAAAAAATAATAGATAAGATTTGATGGGAGATATTTTGAATCAATAATTTGCAAATTTTGCTATATGTGTAGTATAAAAATTAACGATTATAATATTTTTGAACAGAAGGTCTGCTTCTGATTTGTTTGTATTGAGAAGTTGCCATAAATTATTTCAATGAAAGAAAAATTCAAATCTAACCTTCTGCACCTCCTAACGTTGCTAAATAAAAAACATCTTTGTACATTAATGGTTCATAATTTTTTTCCCTGAAGGAAATGTGAACGGAAACATGTAATGCGTCACTCATTACTTTTATTAAAGATGGGGAAGGGCCTCCTGAAACATCTAAAAACAAAAATAGGTGATAAATTGTTAATGTTGATGGGACTACTTTCACTTATGAAATCCACTGGATGATGATGATTGAAAGGTCAGCCAAATTTAATAGTTACTATTCTGAAAGTCTATAATGAATGGTTGAATTTAATTATAATCAATTTAATTATAATTAATGGTTGAAATTTTAAATTCAACGTCTCCTCTTCTGTGGTCGCTCCTGGTGGATAGTGTGCTTGATGCCCTCGATTGAAGAAAAGTTGATCTGCAAGCTTATGCAGATGACCTAGTCATCCTGGCAAGGTCCACGTCGGGAGGGGTAGCTTGTAATATCCTCCAAAGCGTGTTAGACGTTGTTCACAGTTGGTGCCTGAGGGAGCAGATATCTGTCAACCCCAGCAAAACTGTGTTATTCCCCTTCACCAAGAGAAGGAAATTGGACGATCTAACGCCACTTTCTCTCAATGGTGTGGTCATTCCATTTGGAACGGAGGTGAAATATCTTGGCATTGTCCTTGATGAAAGACTCACCTGGAACGCTCACTTGGAAAAAGTTTTACACAAAGCCAGACTGTCTCTATGGACATGTCGAAGGATTTCTGGTAAAACTTGGGGTTTAGGTCCCAAACAAATCCATTGGATTTATGTGATGATTGTCAGACAAATGATCACGTATGGTGCAATTGCTTGGTGGCCGAAGGCTCTACAGAAAACGGCCCAAGCGAAGCTCTCTGGCTTACAGAGACAGGCTTGTCTGGCTATCAGTGGTGCCATCAGTACCACACCGTCAGCGGCCATGGTGATCTAGATCTACTTCCTCTCCACATTTTTCTGTAAAGAGAGGCTAGATGGACTGCATACAGACTTGTGCACATGGCCAATTGCACAAATCAATTCAATGCAGAGTGAAACAGACTGTTGGTTGACATTGGAAGTCTCAGCATTCTGGAAATGACCTCTGACTTTATGCCTCCAACTGTCAACTACGGACTGCCTTATAAAGTCCTATTCTTGAGTAGAGAGGACTGGATCCTGCGGGAGAAGGAAATATTAAGAGTAGATAGTTGTTGGTTCACAGATGGATCAAAAACACCTTCCGGTTCTGGTGCAGGTGTTTTCAGTCGCAGACCCAGGACAGAGTTATCTACCTGCCTAGGAACTTATGCGACTGTTTTTCAAGCCGAAATTCACGCTATTGAATTGTGTGCGGAGATATTGGATACATCCAACCTCACTCACAAGTTAATAAAAATATTCTCGGACAGTCAAGCGGCGTTGGAAGCTCTTGGCTCCCACCGAGCAACGCCTAAATTGGTAGCAAACTGCCAAAAAAAGACTCTCCTCGATAGGAAGACTGAACAAATTGTCTCTGGTCTGGATTCCAGGCCATACTGGCCTGGAAGGCAATGAAGCTGCTGTCTCTCTTGCAAAGGAGGGTGCTACAAGCGGCTTCATTGGACCAGAACCTGTCATTGGCATCTCTTTGGGCTTTGCCAAACAAACACTGAACACCTGGATGGCAAGAAAAGTTATGGACTTCTGGCAGAATCTTCCAGGATTGACACACTCCAAGGCGTTTATTCACCCTTCGAAGCTTGATACCAAACAGTTGTTGAACTACAGTAGGGATGAACTACGATGTCTAACAGGCCTTCTTACAGGTCACTGTCATTTGAATCATCACATGCAGAGACTTGGACTGTCGGAAGACAGTGTGTGTCGCCTCTGTATGGAAAATGATGAAACTCCGGGTTAAGAAGCTGGGTTTATGTGGCCGAGTGTGAATAGGTGTGAGCCACAATAAACCCTTATGGGTTGCGGTGGAGGGTCGAATAGACCCATTCACTTCAGACCTACCTACCTACCTCCCACTTGAGAACTTCTTTCAATTTCACTTCAATTTTAATTTTGCTACCCGAATCAACAATGTGTTATAAATTCTGAATGGAGTAGTAGAAAGCCAAAAACTTTCTTTCCCAAATTATTTTTGAAGGTTATGTTGAAATTCCATGCCAAACTTCAGTTGAACTATCAGCTGTTCCAATCAGAAATTTCAAATCAATCAGAAACCAATATTTACCAGACATGCGCGTTGTCAACGATTTACAAACAGTTGGAAATCTGTGACTCAAGGTTGGAACGAACCTATAGTAATAATATATACAAGTAGTATATACAAAGTATAGAATTATTGATATATTTGTAAAAAAAATATTTTGATTTCAAATAACTTCTATTTGTTATTTGAGAAGGGACTAACACGAAATTACCTTTGGCGTTAGAAGATCGGCTTCATCGTATACATTTGCATATGGCATTTGGTATTTTGATTTCACCATGTCTACTTCAACGGTGTTTTCAGAAATATGGGTCTGAAAAGAAAAGAAGTTTCCGAAAAATCTCATAGCATTCAATCCTGCTTCCTTACCTGGATGGGCAAATTTTTTTCTTTGGCAATTTGGCCCAGTTTTTTCATCAAATCCATTTCCACGCTCAGTGCAAATCTAGGTGTGATGATCGGTTTCACTAAATCCGACTGAAACATAAAATAATCCTCCATGACATGAACAGATGTTGCGGTCGATGCCAATCGATATTTCGTGAATTTATTGTTGTAATGTCCACCATGTATATTAACTGAAGTTGTGCTCATTGATGCCAATGCTTTATTTGATGCCAATGCCGTGTTAGGAATCACACGTTAAAAGGTAAAACCTCGTTAGTCCTTAGCTCGCACAAGTTTCGACTTCTGAGGGTTGTCGTTCTTAGGGGTGCGATAACTGGTTAATAGGATATTTTAAACATATCAACTCCGATGATTCATACAAGAGATCTCCAGATGTTAGTATTTCATTCCTAGGCGCGTCGATCAATTAATACGTAAAATAGGTAATCTTCAGAAGTCCTCAGAAACAGCTCGATTTTGATTTTTGAAGTGATAACTTCTTATCGGAGGGTAAACCGCTTCGTTACCTAACGCGTAACAGCGCCAGTTTGTTAGGCCTCTCACACATACGTTAGCCGAAGGCAGGCTCCTCCTCTCCCGTTGGACAGACGCTCAGTATTTAGTGTGCGATCATATACTGTAGACAGTATACCAGCAAGCACGAACCATTCTTTTATTATGTGAAACGTTTGAAGTTATAACTTCTTTCGGGCGTCCCGAGACGCACACGTTTATTTTAAATTTTTGATTTAATGTATAATATGAAATCAGAAACCTTTTGAAGCGGGACATATTTATATTGTTCAATAAGTATGTATGATATTCAGATTTGCGTGGCTTATTTAAAAAAATCTTCGTAATAAGTAGGTACATTAGATATTCATTTCATCACGTTGAATTTGTTTTTGATGGATATAACGGTATTTGGACTATAAAGCTTCTGAGATAAATCGTATATATATTCAAAACGTTTTTGATTTAAAATTGATTTTTTTCAATCATTTAACTATCCACAGAGTGTTATTCCACCAAAGGAACAGAGCTCAATTCTTTGTAATTACTCATTCTTTTCATCTCAAAACTATAGAAGGCAGTCTTGTCACTGTATGAGTACCACTCGCTAAATAAAAAAGAATATGTTCTTGAACCTTATTGTGTTGTAACAGAAAGTAATTGTGTAAGAAATAAGCACTTACCCCTATTGATTCCACATACTCGATGAAATTCAATGTATTGGTAATTGATTCTTCTGGTGTCTCGAGGTAGTCCTCTGGTGCTAAAGTGGTCATGTTGATTTTTCCTATGAGTGCTCTCTGACCATACTTTTTCACGGAGTCGACCAATATTTTGGTAGCGTCGTTGAAAAGTACACCAAAATAACACGCCGTGGTTGTTCCATTGTCCAGGTTCTTTCTCTGTGGAATAATTAGATTTCAACTTGTAAGATTTATAGGAGTGTTTCAATTCAATGAAGATATCTCAGAATTTAACTTTCCAGCTGAATTTGAGCCATATGGTTTATATTAGAGAAATTGAAAATTTCAGTGAGAGTTCAAAAGCTGATGATTAGTAGTAGCTAGGAGCTTTTGATAATACCTCATGTTAATCCACTTTTAGATCGCTAGAGAAGTGAAACTAATACTGCACTAGTATTAGTTTATATCCGGTATGGAAAGATTCGAATGACAGTGAAAAAATGGTTGTCTCCAAGCAAGGAGATATAGAGTCGAACTTGATCCAAAGCTGAACTGTAAAACAAAACAGGCTCTATTTACCAAGAGACGAAAGTATGCACTTAGAGCTCTTACTTTGATGGAATTCAGCTTGCATCTTCCAATGAACTGAAAAACTTGACTATAGACCACAAACTGACTTGTTAAAATGTTATAAAAAATTTGGGCAACGTTTTGTCTCAGCAAAGTCATGAAGTTTATCGTTACCTGTGTCTCAGTGTAACGCTTTATCTGTTCAGGAATCATGGAAAAATCAGAACACTGTGTGAACACATGAAGACTATAGATCTTACCTCATTGGAAATCATTTCCATATCTTTGCCAGCTACGCAAGATTTAGATGTGATTGAATATGTCATAAACACTTGTGTAACAGACGCATCGTATAAGAAGCAGCTGAGTGGGAATACATTGGTCTGGTATAATGAGAGATGCAGGATGTTAGTCAAAGAGCCAGGATTCAAGCTCTCTGAATGCATTCCTATCATCTTTCAAGCAGAATTGTATGTTATAGGAGACATTTGCTCGAGAGAAGCGCTCATTGCCCAAGATTACATTTTTTTCAGAATTCCGGCAGTGGAAGCTTGATGAAAAAATAACACTGATGAATCAACAGGACAAAGACAAGCTGAATAGCTAGGGTTGAAGAGAGAATACCTCTGTTAGAATGACAATTCTTACAGAACACTACTCACTGGAATAAAATAAGCGACAGAGTTGTCGATGGTACGGCCATTGTTGCAGAAAGTAAGAATGTCAAGCTTCAGTCTACAACAAGCTCACGTAAATGATATCAAGATAGTTCGTATAGATCAGGTTTATGTATAAAAGGTCTGACTACAAATACATGTACTTGTGAAGCACTGTTTGGAACCTTTGGTGTAGTAATGAATATTACTGGAGTTTAATCCGCACACCAAACCGTTACTTTTAACACCTCGACACCACCGATCACTTGATGATTGAAACACGTGTCGAGGTGTTAAAAACAACGGTTTGGTGTTGGTATTAAACTCCAGTAATATTCCTTACAACTACATGGTCAGGGAGAAATTTGGGAAGAACTGGGAAGAAAACATAAATCAACTTTCTGATTTTAGTGGGATGTTAAGGGCAGTTTGAAAATCGTTTTAAACACATTCGTTGTTGGTCTAACAAAACTCTAAAATTAAATAGCCCATAAACTTCAGGGTACTACTATAAAAGGTAATAACTACATAACGATTCTTGTAGGTATACGTATTTTTTTTATCTGCAATTTTATAAAAACCATCTCGATACCTTTCAATCCGCTGCTGTTATTCAATGATAATACTTATCAGCAAACATGTACACTACTGATTATTTACATTGAATGATTGAATTTTTCCCAACGATTAGAAATCATTCCATTTTATCTTTGCTACTCACTACCAAATGGTCGAATACTATTTCCGAAAAATTCAGATCGGTGTATTTCTTTTCCAGCTTGTACGTGTAGGTATCCAACCATTCCATTAAGGGTTTGTCGTAGCCAAGTCCGCAATTTGGATATTGAGGTGCATGAATGTGCGTATCAATGAGGCCAGGAATAAGTAGTTGGGAATCTTTGAGAATCGTTTCCTTCACGTCCTTCAAGTTAAGTTTGATTTTAGTTTCAGCCAGTGCTGATCTCTTGCCTACTGCCAAGATCTGAAATGAAAAATTGTTGATACAAAGAGTAGGGAAGAATATAGATGAAATTTGGCTGTTCACATTACAATATATGCTTTGGTGATCTCAAATAACGAGCAATGTTTTGAACTTGTTATCATAGTTATACAGTTTAGTCAATTAAGCCACAGGTTCTGTAAATCCACCAGGACCAAGTCTATTTTAGTCAAATTCAGTTTCGGGAATTTCGAATCGATAACATTTACCGTTATCATGATAAGCGACTTTAAAACTGTGCGTTTGTGTAAAGTTAGTATGACTTCACCAGATATGTGCGACTGGCCCCGTACTTCTGAACCACGTTTGACCAGTTATAAGACTAAGCATTTAATATTTTAGTTTGAATGAAGAGGTGTTCAGCTCTGGAAAGTTTTATTAAGGTTGGTATTGAAGTATATTTATAACATGTTACGAAAATGTATATTTTAGGTAGGTACTAATTGAGTCAATTTTTGCGTGCGTAGAAGATATCAATCATACCTCCTTTAATAGATTGTTGAGCTATATCTGTTACATAGATACATTTGGAAAACACTTTTATTCATTTCTAAAAGCGTGTTTGTTTTTGAAATAAAAACCTACCTACTTCTCTTTCTGACGTTAAAACCCCTTCCACAACCTTGCCTTAGCTACGCCCTTGATTTTCTAATTAACCTTTCATGACTGAATGTATTTACACCTTACCACCGAATGATGTTTACTCCGTGACCTTACCTACTAAAGCAATATTACAAAAATGATTTTACCTCGCTTCCTTGGAATATGACGAAAGCCTTTTCCATCAACTGAAGTTCGAATCTCCCGGTGCAATGGATAATGTTGCCAATTATTACTTCCGCATTTTCCAAGGCCATGTTTACTTTTAGATTAACAAAACTAGAGCACTTCCGCTTTGATCAGATTCACCCGCACTCGCAGTCTGAGTTTCAATACTTTTATATTAAATAGTTCTATAGATATGTAGTGAAACGTGGTGAATTTGACGCAGGATAAAATGAAAAGTTGAAAGGTATTTCTCAGCAGTGGCGGGCCATGTTTGATATACCTATGGTTTTTGTAAAAACAAAAAAGTTGAAATTGTGGGATTGATGAATATTTAGTTTGGAAAGTGAAACTGCCACTTGTGTTATTTTACGAATTTTGATGTTAATGAGAAAAGAATTGATTGAATCACTAATATGTTAGTTTTCAGCGGGAATGTAATTTTCCTTCATTGAAGTTATGCTTATTCGTCAGTTAGTGTCTTATGATTCCAATAAACCAGCTCTATCTAAAAAAAACATATTCTTTCGTTTTAGAGAATCCGACAATAGGTTGAAAAATCGGCTTTTTTCATACAAATTTTCAGTTTGAAGTGGACTTATAAAAACGGAGAAAACATTTGAAACAACCTAATATTTTAGAAGATGAATTTTTTCATCTTCTTCTTTTTAAATAAATTAATGATATTAGGGGGAAATTAATCTGGAAAACATCATAAATTTGAAGATACAATGATTGACGATTTGAAATTTCATTTGACTGTTCTGTTCACAGCCATAGGAATCGAAATCAATTATAGAGAAAATAAAGCAGAATCGGCATCAGAAGAGGAAACAATCTCCCCCTGAGCAGGTCTTGCAAATAACCTGAGTCTACAAAGAAGATGAACGTTGACTAAATGACACCAACTCTCCTTCGTGTAACAAAAGATCAAGATATCAAACATACAATAGAGAGCAGAAGGTTCTCAGTTCTGCGACTCTTGAGCAAATCCAGGAAACTATGTAGCGCAGCTAGGGAATGATTTATCGCCTTTTCAAGGTGCCATGCCCTAGCAGGTGCCATGCAGCAGAAGCAGAATCTGCATTACAACAGGAAACAATCTCCCCTGAGCTGGTTCTTCACATACTTTTGCTCAAATGATCAGGTCCAAGACTAGAGCGAAAAAATTTAACACGAAACTTTGGAGGGGATTATTCTCCACTAGGAAATTCAGGCCTTGGTAGCAGGGCACGGACTCTAAGCACAGTGACCCTGTGCTCTACTCTACTGTGCTCTAAGCACAGTTTCTAAGCTTGTCCCACTTTGAACCGGATCCGGTTTATCTCATTGGTTCTAGCGCGAGAGAAATCTACCTATTTCATGTCGTGAAATTTCAGAACTATTTTGCTGTTACCTTCACCATAGTATATTTATCTTTATACTATGCTACCATGCCGTAACTTAGTTGATTTATAATGTTCCTGAGAACTATTCAGCTACCCTTCATATAAAAAAGTCGTTACAAAATTCCCCCCTTCCTTGTAAGCGCTTAAATAGGTTATTGTTATTAAGAACATTTCTCGCTTGTTAATACCCATTTCACTTTAAGGAATGTCATGAAAATTTTCACAAAGCAGATGAATTCATAAAATTCTTGTCCGAGTTGAGTAATTTTAGCAACTAGGTCATATCATTCAGATTAAATATGAATGACGCAAATGCGTAATAGCTGAAATAAGATTAAGTAAAATGTAGATGTAATGGATGATAAGCTTTCCAGTATTCATGTACCGTGATCCATTATACCTCATAGATTACAGATTGAATAAACCTCAGTCTATTTGGCCTTCTAGACTTCTAACAAAGTAACTAATAGTAACCAATTTCCTTTGGAACAATTCTTTGCTACCAAGGGGTATAAGTATGGCTTCTTGAAATAAAACCTGAGCATTTTAAAGAACAAATGTTTGGTTGGCAAGCAGGTTCACTTCGCTATCTTTGTAGCCCTTGTCAGAGCCGTTATTCGGACTACGGCTACGTAGAATTGGCAACTGTTGTGAACGACTCGACTACATCTAGAGCCCCGCTTTAAAACCTATTTGCTTTCTTTGGTGATACGCTAATTAAACTTTTTGCTTGTTTTGATCAGTCTTGATTCTTTTAAACTAGTCTTTCTCAAAGTGGGCGATAACGCCCCCTTGTCGGGCTGGAGGCCTATAGGGGGACAGTAAAGGGCACAGAGAAGATTGGGGGGGCGTTGAAGCGATTTAGGGGGGCGATGACTAATTTAAAAATGTTTTTTTGCATTTTACACAAACTTTACCGCTCCTTTACGCTTAACGCGCGTTTTCATTTGCCTACCTTACGAATGGTTTACAATTTACATTGTTATTGTGGCTGAATATACATGAACTTTTTTCGAATTTAAAGAAAATGTTATTTATTGATAACATCTTTTAATGATTATTTTGTGTATGTACAAATATTATAGCTACCATAAGCCAATTGTTACTTTTGTAGGAATTAATAATGTACCATACACAAAATTAGTATCATCATTTTCAAGCCAGTTTTCACATAATGAAAGATTAGTATGTGCTTGCTGGTTTCATAATAATGTCAATAGTATATGATCGCACACTAAACACTGAGCGTCTGTCCGACGAGAGTGGAGGAGCCTGCCTTGGGCTGACGTTTGCGTGAGAGAAAACGAAGCCATAAAGACTGGCGCTGTAACGCGTGAGGTAACGAAACGGTTTACCATAAAAAGTTATCACTTGAAAAAGAATTCATGAAAGTCACTATGAAAAATCGTCTATTGAAGAACTGAATGAAAATTAAATTTATAGTGATGAAGCAAAAAATTCAGAAGAAAAAAGAGTGAGGAGAGATGTGTTACCGATACAAACGTAATAGAAACTGGATACATTAAAATTTAATGCCAGTTATGATTGTGCTTGTTATATTTGTAATTTTTATGCTTTGGTCTTCAAAGAGTTTATTCCTTTATTTTAAAAAAATATTTAGGTGTATCTCCGTATTGTTTGATAAATGATTTTTTATTTCCAAAGACTAAGAATTACTTAATTTGTTTTTCTGACGTAAAGGGCAGTTTTTGCAAGGTATTTCATTTCAAGAAAGTGTACAGCAGTAGTTGATTCAAAAAATGTGATAGTAAAATCTAATCAGAATTTCTATTCATTAACCTTCCAGCAGGCTCCAATTTCACGATGGAAAACTTGCAGGGGGGTACCTTTTTCAACCTGAAGCAACCTTTATTACTACCTTTTGCAATGTAGTTTATTGAAGTCGTTTAAAATGTATAATAGAAACAGTATTTATATGAATCATTTTTCATTCAACTAAGCGAAACTTTTGTTCAGTCTAAAAAAGTTGATAGACTTTTTGAGATTAAATATTTATTAGAGAAATGAAAAACACATTTCATCAAAACGCACTTCGCCCATGCAACACCCGAAAGCAATACCGTTCCGGTACCGCGATCAAGTACCAAGAGAACCTGCGGTGACATCACAGTGGTCATCGTCCGGAGAGAGCTGAAGAACGACCATAGAGAGTTTCTAGGGGTCCGCTAAGTGCGACGCCGGTGGTAAACAAGGGCCGGGGGGGTGATACACACCGTTGGTATGGGTCGATAACCGGGCAACCCCGTGGAAGGTACTTGATAAAGTCGGAACCGCGTCTAGTCACAGGGTTGTCGGCTTTTTGTAGGAGTCGTCGGCTCGGATTGTGTAAGAGATACACGGTGTGACTGTGTAAGTAATGCGCGTATGAAGAAAGTCAACAAAAGTATATAATACAATTTTTCTGAATGGAATCAGCTGAACCATGAAATATGTTTCTTGAAGCAAATTTTTATAGCCCTCTAGTTTGCCTAATATACTTTTCATCTTCACAACTCTATCTGAACTAATCTGAAACTTAACTCATAAAGATTGTAATGGATTGAACCCGAAACTACTTTACTACTTTCACTAATAAAAAGCTACATTATCAGCGAGTAAAATGGGCAGTATTTTATTTAAAAAAAAAAATGATATTCCATATATGTCAGTGTTTGACCTTTGCAAAACTAAACTAATAATGATAATAAGAGTTGAGTTATTCCATTACAAACAAATAAACAAATATATTCCGTAATATTACTTCAGATGATTCCCAATCATCATACTAAGTTGAATTTCTAAAGAATTTTTGAAGTGATAACTTCTTATGGGAGGGTAAATCGCTTCGTTATCTAACGCATAACGACGCCAGTTTGTCTGGCTTCCCTTTCTCTCACGCATACGTCAGCAGAAGGCAGGCTCCTTCTCTTTCGTCGAGCAAATGCTCAGGTTTAGTGTACGTTAGACATATACTGTTGACAGTATTACGAAAATCTAACTAGCAAACACGTAATATATTTTCATTATGTAAAAAGTGACTCAAAAATGATGATACTAATTTGTTTATGTACATTATTAGTATCATTATTCAATCCAGCAAAACTAACAGTTGGCTTATGGTAGAGTATATTTGTCACCTTAAGAAAAAAATAGTCTCCCTAAATTTTCTCCTTGTTTGAACAGATTTCCAGTGTTTTTTGCATTCTTGACATGCCTTGAAGGCAGATCTGAATGTTTTTACTTTCCTTTATCGGATACATTTTTCCTCTTAATCGGCTATACTTTAGAAACTGAAGTTGTTCACTTTTTCAAACTCACCTTTGCTAGGTATCATACGTTAAAAATAAAACCTGGCTAATCCTGAGCTCTCCCAAGTAACGAATTCTGAGTGTGTGTTTCAACATTTTTTTCAAAATTTATTGTATATATTATTCCAACCTTCAACATTTTCTTCTACCACCTTAACTGTACATTTGCTCTTTTTATTTCTTCTCATTGGAGCAATTGCAAACTTGTGAGTAATTGACACAGACTTGTGTGTATCGAATTTTATATTTCTCTCTTTAGTATTGAAAACAAGTTAAATGGAAACGAATCGATCGACAGATTAAGTCGAGCTCCTCCATAAGGGAAGATGTCATCGTCTTTTTTCACACAGACTTTTCCTTCAGGAACAGTTGATTCCAGAAATGCATTCGTAGTGTCGTAGAGCCCCACTGATGAGACCTAGGGTGAGTTCTGTCTATTAGTAGATCGCGAATGCTTTATTTTTGTCCTCTGGCTTCAACCAGGTTGAGCGTAGTTGGTGAGAATGGATCATATTTTTCACTTTCTGTTGTTTTTCTTCGG